TATTCTTTTAATTAAACTAATCCAGTATTGTCTAAACTGAACTGTGTGGGTAACTCCATTTATGGTAGCAAATTGTTGAAAATTGATCCCTTTAGGGGGGCAACAGATCTAGTATCTGGGCTGTTCAGGATAAAGACAAAGGACAGGGCAGAACATACGTTTCGGGGGAAAATTCAGGACTGGGATTGTGCTGGGGTCACTCTGCAAGTGGAACCAAGGCTGGTGGAAGCCAGAGTGTGACTGGTGTGTGGCTGGCAGGCTGCAACTACACACAGATGCTCGGGGTGTAACCTGCATGCTAGAAGGCTGTTTGTGAGTGGCTCAGGTGGGAGTGCTACACAGTAGAACACTGTGAGGCACCCAAGTTTGAAGGGCAGGGGTGACACAGCCCCTCCCTGGTCTGGACTGTGCCCTGTGGACTGTGCCCTGGAATGTCATAAGGGGAGTTCTGTAACAAGGGAGAAGGAGCGGAGTGTGCAGCCAGAAAGGAGCAACCCTGGTGTCTAAACAGGATGGTGTGGGGAGGGATAGCATTCTTCAGAGTGCAGCCTCTAGTGTTGATTTCAACACTGAGGAACTGTGGGGGGTGGGGAGAATAGGGAAGGCCTGCCATGGCTGCGGATCATAGAGACCCTATCTGGGAATATTTTCAAGAAATTCCTGTACCTCTGAGTAAAAAAGAACATGTGCCAAATGTAAACACTGCAACAGAGCTGCAAGGCCTGATTGTCAGAACAAGACACTGTGAAAAATGCTCTTCAGAAGGCAGTGACTTTGTTCGGCATGTCTACATCAGTCTGGATCAACTGGTTAGCAAACTTTATTTTTGCTCCAATCTTATGGACTGCCCACCATGTCTTACTGTGCTAGTAAAGAACTTAGATGGTCATAAGCTTACCTTTTGAATGGATTACTTATGCATTTCAAAACATTAGCATTCAAAATATAATTGGTATGGTAGTTTTTTGTGGGAGTATATCAATTTCACTTTTACTGTTACTGCTGGACTTTTGAAATGATCTCTCATTGCTCATCCTAGTTTAACTATTCCTGTTTAAAGTTTTATTAGGCATTTATGAATTTAAACATTTAAACTCAAGATGTTTTATGTTGCTAGGGTTAAGGGTTTAAATAAACAAATAATCCTTTATTTAATTCCCTATAAAACTGGGTTTAGACTAAATCATCATTTAAACAGTGGTACACACAGATGCAGTAGGAGGGATCTCTGTTTTTATTTATTTTTTTTTAAAGCTGTGCACTGAGTAATACTCAGTGACTGACTTTACCGTTTTGTTTCAGAGTCTAGCATAGATATACAGTAAGAGGTTATGAATTTCCATCATTTGCTGGTATCACTAGTAGTGCTGCAATTAAACATACAGTCAGATTTTCTTCATCCAATAAACCCATGGTAATCAGGAGCAGCAAATTCCAGCAAGACCATGTAAGTGAAAAGATTACTTGATTCATTTATGCAACAAGTTCTCCTTTTCATCTAGTTCAGAACAAACACTTCATTAGCCTGGTCCATAATGATTGAATCATGTCACTCTCCATCCCTCAAGCAGACATTGCTAGAAGACTGCTGGATACAGTGTATGAGAAGGAAACTGAACAGTGAGCAAAAATTTGACAGGAAGCTTGTTAATCTGAGTCTTGATGGGTGGAACAGTGTATACAATAGTCCTGTAATATGTGCTTGAGACAACCCCATCTTCTGTTGTCAAACTTACAGAAACAATTAGACACTGCCCATAGAGCAGAATACTTAAAAGTAGCAGTAAAAACAACAACTGAACAAAAATTCAAGTGTCAAGTACATAGTTTTGTCACAGACAATACTGCAAATGTAACACAGATGAAATCTAGAAGATAATGAAGGGACCCTGAAACTTATATTATAATGTGTGCCATACTCATTTGATGCACCTTTTAACCAAAGACTAAAGTACAACTCCAGGAATTAAGGAAAATGTTGAAATTGCAAAATACTTCCCATAATCACTTGGCTTCAGCCTCACTGAAGAGAGCAGGAAGATTCAAACTAATTCTCCAAGATGCACAATGGCATTCAGTGGTTGGCTGTTTTGAGCTACTTATTATGGCCTGGCCTATTCTGATAACTTGTGAAGAATCATGGCAAAATAGATGGAGCCACAGTAGTCTACACTGGACTAAAGAGAAATGTAGAGGATGTGCTGAATATACTGAAATTTCTTTCTATAGCCTTGGACAGACTACAGAAAGACTGCTGATATGGTTGATATTTGGAAAGAATTTCAAGAGACATTGAAGAAATACCAAACAGTTAGATTGAAGGCAGTGAAGAAATAGGATGGATCAATCACTTACTAAACCTTGTTTTCTTGCCAACATTCTCTACCCAAAGTACCAGGGTAGATGCTTAACTGCAGAAGAAGGTGGTGGTATGACATGGGCATCTTATCACCCATCAATCATTCCCAACCAGAACAAATTTCAGGACTGGAGGTGAACCATTCAAGCAATATGTTTGATCTTTTAAAAGTCACAGCTGAACTGAAAGTCACTAGCTAAGTGCCTGGAACCAGAACTGAATGTGCAAAACTAGCTTTTGACAGCAGTAGCCTCTTCTGCAGGCACAGAGGATACTTTCTGAATTTGGACTAATTCATTCAAAGCTGAGAAATAAATTGGGAGTTGAAAAAGCAGGAATACTTGTCTCTTCCAGTCTATGAACAAAAATGAGGGAGAGGATGAGAGCTACTTATTGTAAAAGTTTAAAGGACAGCCTAAGTAACTGTCTCATTTTCAAAAGACTTAAGCAGTAAGGAACTTTCACTTAAGCATATTTGAAAACTTCTCCAGGCTGAATTGAAATCTGTTTAGTCCATGACTATAGTTAATGCCTTTGTTTAATAAATCATTTAGTTGTAAATATGAAACGTGTTTTGTTCAAGTTATGTATCTAAAAGATTTAAGATGGCTTTGCGCTGTTGCATGGTGGATTAAATTCAGTTACCATTCTACTGCACCTTGACACAAAATGGTGAATGATATTGCTTATTTACTAGATAATCTTGTTTGTGCTCATCTGTTACAGACTAAATGTACAAATAAGGATCTGAAACTATTAAGCTTTATAATTGCTTAAATGTATATAGTTAATACATCAAAGTTAGAGTAAATTCTCTATTTAGTTGTAAATCAACCACTAAAACATGTTTTAATCTCAATCACTGAGATAGCAGTTTTCTTTAGAAAAGTACAAATGGAAAATCAGGGCTTTCTACATGGTGATTAAATCAACAGTGGAGTCTGGACCAAGGGATGCGGGTTAATAGGGAATATTTCCTGTAGCATCCTATATATCACAACTGAAGAATTGTGGGTCGGAGCTCCGATGCCTGTATCAGTAGTGAAATAGGCCTCCTTGTAATATACGCTAGTGTATGGGTGGGGATGCTGTCCATACAAAGCTATGGGTAGATTAGACCATTGGACCTTGTAACAGAGCAGCTGCCAACAGCACTGTCTCTCATGGCCAGCGGTCATGCTGCAGCACCGTCCCTCTGTTTCCTCCTCTTCAGGGGCCTCTTTAAGAACTGCACGTACATTCTGCCCTTCCATGCCCTATGCCAGTTCAGTGTGTCCCTCTTCCTTAGGGAGGGAATCCCTCCACCCCCTCTCCTCAGAGCTATTGAGTCACCACTCCCAGGCTTTATCTGGTTGGAGCTCAGGTCTCAGGCTCTGACTGCCAAACTCCCCTGGTATCAGGGTCTTGCTCCTGCCTTAGCAGGCTACTCTCCATTCTCCTACCTAGGGCAGCTCCCCAGGCTCAAAAAGAAAAGGAGTACTTGTGGCACCTTAGAGACTAACCAATTTATTTGAGCATAAGCTTTCGTGAGCTACAGCTCACTTCACGAAAGCTTATGCTCAAATAAATTGGTTAATCTCTAAGGTGCCACAAGTACTCCTTTTCTTTTTGCGAATACAGACTAACACGGCTGCTACTCTGTCCCCAGTCTGTCTTCTCTGAAGAGCCTGGCCTCTGCCACAACTACCTCAGCCTCCTGCTGCTCTTATAATGGTGTGACCCCTTTACAATAGTTGTCTGGCACCAGACCTTCCAATCCTAATGGGCCAGCCACCCTGCTAAACACCTCTTTGGTGATATCACAGTCATGCATCAGCCCAGCCGGCACAGTTGGGATCTCATCCCCAAAGAAGAAAATTCCTCTGCCCATTATGTTAAAAAGGTGCGATGATTTTTAAAGTAGGACATGTAAAATGCTGGACCCACCTGATCCCATAGCAGCCACTTCCCTTTTGACTACTAATTGATCATCCTCCAAGTACTATTTTTCATAATGGAAAGCCATTGCACAACATGTCTGCAGCCCTTCCTTCCCCCTGCCCCCAAGTTATTTTTCTTTTTAGATCTAAATGAATGGGCCTTGGATTCTGATGGTAGTAAACCACTCTAAAGTGAGCATTAATAGGTGATAGGTGCACTTCTTGGGTAGATGAAGGCACACCACCTCATGCCTTATAACAGGCTGCAATGCTACCCTACTAATGCGCACCTTGGAGTGGCTTATTGTTACAGTAAAAATTCACCTGAAATCTGGTGAACAAGTTGCATTTGACAGTTGCCAGCCCTTCCCTAGGACTCAGGTATCCTAATCAATGCTTCCCATTGAAATACAAGATTATTATTTTTTTTTTTGAGGGCCAAATCTGCCAAGGGTGTTTCAAGGTTAGGATGGGATTTAAAAGGTGCTTTTGGTGGGACAGCTCCACCTTTCATTCCAGAGGGTGGAAGACAAAGGGTGTTCTATTGATAACAGTTTCTGTGTGGACTCTGCTTTAATAAGAAGGTCTTCCTACAAGTTGGGAAGGTGCATGGCTGGTGCTGCCAGAATGAGTGTTCTGGCTGAATGCCTCACTCTAGGTTACTGTATGTATGGAATAATGCAACAAGGAGATACAATTTTGTTTTCTTTTGGTTTTGCAAGCTCCAGAAATCTCCACGTATTGTGATAGTAGGTGGTGGTGCTGCTGGAGTGGAGATGGCTGCAGAGATCAAAACAGAATATCCAGCCAAAGAGGTACAAGAAACTACTTACACAATAATTAATGCTCCACCAGCTGCTTCCTTCATCTGGTGACTTAAAAATGTGTTCTTCCACAATGCCTCTGCTAGAGCAGTTTGGGTTTGCTGTAGCTAAACTCCCTCACAACCATTTTCCATAGAGCCTCATATTCAGCAAGGCTGGAAGTGAGCAGTTGTGAACGCCCTCACAGCCAGCATTCCTGCAGTGCATCCTGGTGCTGGGGTTGGCTGGAAGCAGAATAGCTTCCCAAGATCCTCCGCTCACCCATCCACCCTACTCTGCCTTTGTTGCCAAGAAATGCATGCTGAAAGCCAGAAGCCTAAGGCTTGGCTATTGCTTTTGCATGCTTGCTGGGACAGCAGTCAGACGCAATCCTGTTTAAGTAGTATTTGATCCTGGCTGACTCAGGTTTGTTTTTGTTTTCGTTTTTGTTTTCCCCCAGTTGGCTGTAGTTCTTTTGCATTTGTCCACAGGTCACCCTCATTCACTCAAAAATCGCACTGGCTGATGTGGAGCTCCTACCAAGTGTCCGGCAGGTGGTGAAGGAGATTCTTCTCAGGAAAGAAGTGAATCTCTTGTTAAGTATGTTCTTAACCAATTTCATTTAATATTTCTCTAACTCAGATTGAGTCTCTACAAATCCCCAAAGCTTCCTGCCCCACTCCCCCATCTCTAACTCCTTCTCCTATAAGGAACCTTTGTCTCTAATGCTTGTTTCTGGTGAGAAAGACTAACTAGGGCTCTCTTCAATACCTGCTAAAAGGTAGCTGCTGAGTGGAGCAGGGTTCACTGGACTTTCCCCTGCATTCCCAGGGCAAAGCAGAAGACCCATCAATTGCTCCTCTAATGGGATACAATACACATTCCCTTTGATAGCTTTTCTGGAGTCACATTAGGTAAACCAGCATAAAATGCCTTTCTAGAGTGATTTCATGCTCATGAGAAGTGAGGGCCTGAACATGCCATGTCCGTTGGAAAAAACTAGCAGTATGGAAACAAAATGTAGAGCTGAAGTGCATGTGCCTACTCCCAGTGTAGACCAGGGCTCAGCCCAGTCTTGGGGATGAGAAGCAGCTAAGGTAGTGGATAAACACCTCCAAAATACCTGAGAGATCTTATGTTGGAAAAAGGAGTTGTTGCCACAGGCAGCGTAGGAGAGAACCATTTTTGCACTGGCAGAACTGGTCCTGTGAGCCATGCATGCCTTCCCCATTTCTCATCTCTCTGCATTCAGATCCTCTGCTTCCTCCTCCTTTTCCTTTCTGCCTGGACTCTAGCAGAAGAATTGAGAGCACGGGAGGGACAGTCTCCTTGCTCAGTTTCTGTCTGGCACCACAGTATCCCATGACAGCTGGGAGGAGCAATTACACGAGAGTCCTGCTCAGCCCCTGCAGGCCTGGAATGGAGCATGCCCAGAGCAGATGCATCTTCAGAGAATTTAGCTGACACACTCGTAAGGCTCTACTGAACATATGCAAACTGAGTTTTTCAGAGGCTTATAACTTGGATACATTTTAGTGGATGTACACAGGAATGGCAAAAGGCATATCTGACAAAAAGCCAGCCCTCCTGCCTAATTTCATGTCTTTGCGTCAAAGCATGGAGGGTCTAGAGTGTCTCAACAAAACAGGTTGAGAATTTTGTTTTTAACACTGACAAAACAATGTCATTACCCCCACCCCCACCCCAGGTCTTATTTTCTGAAATTGCATGAACAATTTTAGCTGATCAGTTTGATGGAGGCACCTGGCATGGAAAATTTCAGCCTAAACAGTTTGGCAAAGCTATATATAAGGAATTGAAAAGAGGGTCTTAAAACGGTCAGGCTACCAGCTCTGCCTGTAATATATATTGGCCAATATTTTTAAAAGTTAGGTCCTAAAGTTAGATCCTGAAATTCACATTTCGACACCAAAGTGATTTTCAGAGGTTCTAAGCATTGGCAGCTTTCATTGACTTCAATGGAAAGGAAGGGCACTCAGCATCACCCAAGAGGTAGTCAGCATGCTACAGGATCAGGCTTTTCTGGGCAATGGAAAAGTGACTGGACTATCTGCAGAGACAAGAGGCTTTGCCATTGGATGTGAAGGCACTTCACAGAAGATAAAAGGGATAGTGGGAATTCAGGATGAAAACGTGGTAAACTCCAGGAAAGGAACAAATGGAGGAAACTAAACATGATTATCTGAAATGAAACTTTGGGAGATATTTTAGTATGTCTTGCGTAGAACAGATATTGTAATCTGTGTTCTAAATGTACAATCTTTATAAAAGTATTTTTGTTAAAAATAACACACTTTGCACTCCTTAGGCTTCGGTGCCCAAGGAAGCAGCTTATGCTGCTTAGAACAGTGGTTCTCAACCAGGGGTATACATAACCCTAGGGTACACAGGTTTTCCAAGGAGTATATCAGCTCATCTAGATATTTGTCTAGTTTTACAAGCTACATAAAAAGCACTAGCAAAGTCAGTACAAACTAAAAGTTCATGCAGACGATGACTTGTTTATACTGCTCTATATACTATACACTGAAATGTAAGTAAAATATTCCAATTGATTTATAATTATATGGTAAAAATGAGAAAGTAAGCAATTTTTCAGTAATAGTGTGCTGTGATCCTTTTGTATTTTTATATCTGACTTTGTAAGCAAGTAGTTTTTAAGCGAGGTGAAACTTGGGGATATGCAAGACAAACCAGACTCCTGAAAGGGGTACAGTAGTCACTGGCTTAGAGGGTAGCAGCATCCCTGTTAATGATCACAAAGACCTCTATGCAGCTTCTTATGACAGGTGACAGAGTCAGCAACCTGCATATGCTGACTTTAAACCGATTCCAAGAGAATATGGCAGTCAAGACAGAAAAGGGCACAGAGGTTGCTGCTGACATGGTGATTCTCTGCACTGGTATAAAGATCAATTCATCGGCATACAGCAGTGCATTTGGTAAGTTAAAACCATAGGACAGGGTGGGGCTAAGATTCTTCAGCACAGGCAATAAAATGTTTTAAATTTTATTCCAATTCAGTATTTTAGAGACCGTATGCAAGTGGTATTGACATTTAACTTGGTATAGTTAGAGCACATTTAATCTCTGTGGTTAAAGCTTACACTTCAAAAAAAGAAAGTGACCCTTCGGTGGAAGTTTGTGGAAGAGGGCATATATTTATGCACTAAGTGGTTTGTATTATTTCTTCACCTTCCCCTACCATTAACTTTAGGTAGACTCCCAATACATCCTACTGTTGTGGTCCTGGGTGAAATCCTGGCCTCATTGAAGTCAACGGCAAAACTCCCACTGACTTCAGTGAGGCCAGGATTTCACTCCTGCTGCTAAACTCATCTGTCAGTGCACTACGGTAACTGAGCCCGCACGCCCATTGTTCCAATCCTGGAGCTATCCTATATAGAGAATGCCAAATGTGCTAAATTGTGATTGGTAGCGTAAGAACAAGTATTCTCTATGAGTGTGATGAATCCATCGATGTGCTGGTAATACAGTGCTCTAGAGACAAAGCATTTGGAGGTGAATGGGAGAAATTAGGAAGGAACTTTAGTAGCTGGTGCACTTAGCAGTGGGCCTGTAACACCTTTAGGACTCTCCACCTAAATGTGAAGGGTTAACCCCTTTTAAAATGCCTGGGTGCAGATCCTCCACTGTTGTAACACTGTCACTGAAGTCAGTGGAGGTAGGACACTTTACGCCATTTGAGGATCTGTGCCCTGGTGTTCAGCTAATTCTACTTGGTGAATTATTTAAAAACCTATGCAACAAAATATTTCCCATGATATTATATTTCAATTAAAGTATCTTACATTTTAAAATTAAAAGCCAATTATATTCTATAGTAAATATCACTCATCTGTCTTCCATGTTTTCGAGGGGAAGACAAATAAAATGTGAGAATTAATGCGAGAATTAATGCAAGAAATTTGCAATTAGTTCAAAATGTGAGAATTAGTGAATGAACATTTTCTTAAACGTGTGATTTAACAAGTGCACATCTAATTCAAATTTTGCATGCCCTTAACCCCCTCTTCCTTTAGACAGCATTAGAAAGGGCGTAGTAATTTTATATTGTACCAGTTGCACATTCAAATTGTCACCTTCTAATAGAAATGGTAAAAGGGATTTAAGGGGAGCAAATGAAGGGAGAATAGTCTGGCTCAAACTCGATTTCACTTATGTATCTGCAGAATTGTATCCTATGTGGTTAAAATAGAAACTAGTGTACTGTACACATACAGTGAACAACTTTCAAAGGAAATACCTTCAAGCATCTGAAAGGCACTAGTCCTCAGAGGATGAAAACCATGCATTATCTACTGTTTTAAAAGGGTAATTGAGTCATCCAGGTGGGAAAAAATTCATTCAGATTTTTTTTTTTTTAAACCAGTGAAAATCACCATTTGTTCATGGAAAAGATACTAAAATTTCCACCAAAACTTACTTTTAGCTGAGAAAATTCATAAAAAAATTTCAAGTCCAAAGTGTAACTTATCACCCAGAAAAAAAATATAAGTGCCTGAAAATCGGAGCAGGGATGTGCGTGTGCGTTAGAATTAACGTGCTACAATATAGATTTGAAATTCTGTAATTCTCACTAGAATCACTTGTTACCATTTGACAAAGCTGGGAGTGTTGTTATTTCTCAACAACCAAATCTATTCAGGCCACCCTTTGACTCTAGCCCTTAAAGTCAATTCAGAGAGCCTGATACTTAGAACTAAAGTTAGCATTTTCAGATCAGGTTGTTGACTTGTATAAATTGCCATAGCTCCACTGACTTCAATGGAGCTATAACTATTTACAGTAGCTGAAGATTTGGCCCATTCTTTTCCTGGTTTACATACACTGTTGGCTCTTGGATGATAGTACCAGCTGAAGTCATTAAATCATTAAACATGATTTATCATGCATCACGTAGGAGTGACTTCTTGCAAGGCGAGTGTCATCTCTTGCAGTGGTAAACGTAAGCTACACAACTACTCTACTGAATAGTTAATGATATAGCTGTTGGTAGTGATTCACCTGAGTGCTTTGTGTCACTGGATATGCATTGTTGTTCAACTCCTCAGGCCTTGGGTGATGCACTTTTTTTTTTTTTTTAAAACAGGGGACAAGCTGGCGGGTAATGGTGCTTTAAAGGTCAACCAGTACCTCCAGGTGGAAGGGTATGATAATATCTATGCTATTGGTGATTGTGCTGATGTGAAGGAACCAAAGATGGCATACCATGCTGGGCTCCATGCCAATATTGTGGTGACAAACATCATCAACAGTCTGACACAGAAACCTCTTAAAACCTACCAGCCAGGTAAAACTGGGCTCTGCTCATAACAAGTCTTAGCTGATGAGATCCTTTCTTCATCTCTATATAGAATTACTTTGTAAGAAATCCATAACTTTCACAGGACTGTAATTAGAGCTGAAGGAAATAATTTGGATTTGAGTATTATATATCTGACATTATTCTTACTTTCTTCCTCTTAAAAATATATTCTTGCCAACTCTTCAGCAATCCTTTTGAGACACAAACAAAACAAGCACACAATTTGATTATTCTGTACTTAGAAATGTTCTTCCCCTTCACTGCTGATTGATTACTGTTATATTGGTGGGAGGATATGGTGGTTAGAATTTATAAAGGAAACCATTATCTTATTGAGTTGTTTATCAGACTATGATATTAAATCCTTGGAACAGCAAAATATCATGACTTAAAACTCTTACGACCTGAATCTGAAAAATCTTAATCACATGCATAGTCTTTTATTGTGCAATTAGTTCCATTTAAGTCAGTACCTTTCCTTGCTAGTTGCTGTAGCCCTGGGATAATAGGACATCCAGAGTGCATTTCCCACTTGCTTTTGATACCAGTCTGTGTACATATTTCTCCAGGCACTCTGGAATAGCTTTCCAGATCTTAAATTACATTTCAGGGGATTGGATTGACCCACTCTAATGCCAAGGTTTAAGACAAGAGGTGCATACATGTCACAATGCCATGAGCCTAATTTTCCTCTGATTTATATTACTCTAAATCAGGAATAATTCCACTGAGTTCATGGAGTTACCACAGCATAAAAGATAAGAATCAGTCCTCTATAAATGGAAACATCTGTTACCTGGTTAATTGTGGTTTAGGAGAGAGTGAGAAAACAAGGTTCTCTTGTTTCACCTCCCACCCTTATTTCCAAATTATAAGAATAAAGGATATAGCTGTGCAAAAGCATCATCAGAGTCCTGTGTATTCTGTGGTTCCTTGGCATTTGCAGCAGAATTTCCCCTTTGTTGGAGAACTATGCTCCAGAATCTCAGCTTTCATAATAATAATAAAAATAGGTGTCTACCCCCAGTGGTTGCAAAAACGTTAATGTGAATCGAGTGCAACTGATGCTCATTTAAGTCTGAAAGGAGCCTGAGACTCTGATTGTGAGGTTGTGAATTGACCAGTTTAGCTAGTGCAGGGCTCCATGGCATTTGTGATTCCACAGCTGTGGAATTTAGCATTTGTCCAAGATACTACAGAATTAATTCATTTTGCTGGAGCCTGGTACCAAACATTTTGTTTTCTCTCTCCTGGCCCTGAAGGACCTGTTTGGAAGTCCTTCTTGCTCTGTAAAAGCAGGAAGTAACTGGATAGCAGTGCATGCTTCATTGTTATGTAGAACCAGCCTGCGTGGGGTCTGGGAGCCAGAAATGCTGGCTGGACAGCTAGACTGAGGTGAGAAGATAAACTGCTGAAGCTGACAAGTTTCCCACTTTCCTGGCATGCATGGGGGGAGGAGATTCTAAGCCAGGCTGCACAGAAAACACTATGACTGAATCCCACAGAGCTGGGCATTCTAGAGAATCAGCCAAAAAAAAAAAAATCTTTTATTTCTTGTCATGTAATTTGGTCCCATTGTGCTGTGAAGCACACAGGTGCTGGTCATGCTGTTTGATCACATTTGCAACTTTTTTGATGGCTAACTGTGTACGTTTCTCACTTCTAGGATCACTAACCTTCCTGCTGTCGATGGGCCGGAATGATGGGGTAGGCCAGATTAATGGATGCTACGTGGGACGTCTGTTAGTGACCATTGCAAAGAGCCGGGACCTTTTTGTTTCTAAGAGCTGGGAGACTATGGGACAGACTATGCCCTGCTAGATAGAAAGGACAATGATAAAGTAGCAAGGGAATACATGTATCGACTGGCATTAACAAAGCTGGAAAAGAATAAAAGGTTCATCATTACCAAAATGACACAGGCTATATGGCTTTTTACTGATAGTAATACTGCACCAAAAGATCATGTATTACGAATCCCATTCTTTAGCATGATGCATTATAATAACATAAAGCACACTCTTTTTAAAATGGCTCTGTTACGTGGATCTGCACAGAAACTGTATTTCTTGCTGAAACTTTTTCAACACTCAGTTCACATGCTAAGATGGAGCTGAGACAGGAATTCAATTTAAATGGATTTTAAAATAAAAGAAGTAGCAGAATATGCTGTTTTCAAAAGTCCATTCATTTTTGTCTACCAGTCCTCTTTTTGAGTGAAATGTGTGATAAGTTATCTCTGCAAGTTCACTGCCCTCATTTGCTATTTTTGCTCAGTTTGGTTCAGACCAACAGCAAATCCTATCTCTTCACAACATAGAGAGCTGCTTTTGAAGAATTTATAGTTCAAGTGAAGACCTTGGTTTGCCTAAGTCTTCAAGACAGTAATACTCTGAGTCTGGCCCTGAGACACACTCAGAACAGATGGCTGCCATTCTGAATCGATCCACAGCATTGCATCCATTACCTGGCAAAAATTCCACACACGGTCGAATTCAGTGTCTTTTATATGGAAGTATGTTGTGGCCACAGATTTGGTACTATCTGTACCCTAAGTATTCATATGTCAAATATTTCCACACTCTGGGGGTATTGTTGACTTTCATTTTAAGGCAAAAGTGTCTGTAATTAGGGTACGGTTTATAATAAATACACTGGACACATTTTCTTTTCTTTTTTCTTATAAAACAAAAAACAAAGATGAAATATTCTCAGTAATTACAGAGATTATTATGGGGTAAAACAAAATAGAAGGTCCTAGTACATCTTTAAAATTCTCTCTCCAACATGGAATGTAGACAAAAAAAAATTAACATTTTGCCATCCACCCTCAAAAAAAGAAAGGGGAACAAAGAATTGTGTGTGTGTGTGTAAAATTCAAAGCTACAAATCTAAAATGAGTCCTAAACTAAAAAAGCAAGACATATTTAAACAAACTTTTGAAGAGAGCTGGCAAATTAACTACTCAAGATTTCTTGAAGGTGATATAAAATGGTAGGGGGTATCTATTAGCAAGAATTAATCACAGACTAAACCCTCTCCTCCATAGCAAAGCTCTCCATTAAGTCACAAAACATCAAACTACTAACATTCCCCCTCTTCACCACATTTTAAAAATAAAACCCACCTCTAATTCTTTAATGCTACTCAAATTTATGTTGAAAAATAAAGCTTCATTTGGCTGTCATAGCTACTTGGTGTCTAGCTTGGCCATTTCTTGCACGTAGATTCCGATGCTCTCACTGTCAAAGAGCAGAAAGTAAATGTTCTTCAAGGAGGAAGAACTAGCGTCATCAAAATGGGTGGAAATGGCTTTGAGAGTCACCTGGGCTGCAGTCTGTTTTGGGAAGCAGTTTCTATGCAGCAGAAGCAAAGGAAAAGATGGAAGTTAGTCTCAAATTCAGTCATTCTAATTGTGCATGGAAACACTGTACTCATGACACTGAAAAGAACAAAACGCATTTTCAAAATGAGTGTTTATATACTATTACATGAGAAATCCTGCATTAAAGCAACACCAGTTGCAAGTATAAAACACACAAGTCAAGAAATAAAACTCTAGGTTCTCATCGCAACATGAACTCAATTACACTATTGTACTCGCCAACAACAGTTACTATAATGTTGCAAAACAGTTTCAATTATCACTTGTTTTCATACATCTTTCTGAAATGTTCATTTTTAGGGTTGACCTTTTCCATCAATGGTCTATGCCTACATTTTTTTTTTCCAGACATAGAAGTTCAAGCAACTTTTCCTCTCCCACTCAAAGGGGAGTGAAAAAAATATTTTCTTGCTGTAAAACAACAAACCCAAACACCCCCTCTCTCCTCCTCTTAAAAAAAATGCCAGCAAAAATCCCTAACATTCCTTTGAACAAAACTACAGCAAAAATGTTTGAAATCTGGAACTTGGTATGGATATAATTCTCAGGACTAGTTCCTTTGATTGTTTAGCAGGATGTATTCTCAAATTTAAGAGTAAGTGAAAGTAAAAGTTACTTACCTTTTTCAGTAACTGAAGTTCATTTGAGATGGTTTGTCCATATATATTCCACTCTTGGTGTGCATGCTCCCTATGCAGGTGAGATTGGTGTCTTGGCCAGCAGTGTCTGTGGGGGCTGCGCCTGTGCCCTGCATGTTCTTATGCTCCCATACGGAGGACATAAAGGATGGTGTGGGCCCAACCGTCACTCAGTTCCTTCGCCACTGAGTTCCTTCACCACTGCAGAATCCCAGTGCAATAGGACTCCATAGTAGTGGGAAAGGAGGGTGGGTCAGGCAATATACATATGAATAATACATCTTGAACTCCAGTTACCTGTAAAGGTAAGTAACTTTTCTTCTTCGAATGCTTGTCCATGTATATTCCATTCTTGTTGACTTCCAAGCAGTGATCTGATGCGTGGAGGTGGGTGCTCAAAGTCCATTTAAATAAAGATTGCAGCACAGCTCTGCCAAAGGAAGCATGAGACCTCAATGCTTCCACTATGGAGTAATGGTTGGTAAAATTATGTACTAAATCCCAAGTAGCTGCCTTAAAGATGTCCAAAGTGAGAATGATTTACAAGGAATTGCAGAGGCTGGCTGTGCCCTAGTAGAGGGGGCTCTAATATAATTGGGAGTTCTAAACTAGTTAACTCGTAACAAAGCTTAATACACCCTGAAACCCATACACTGGCCTGAAATCAGTTGACCTTTTCATTCTTTCAGCTAATGCTATAAATGATTTTGGGAAAGCTCTGAAGGCCGTGGTCCTTTGAAAGCAAATCGCTGAGGACATGCAAACGTGTAAAGTGTGCAACCTAGACACTCCTTGATTAGAATGCGGTTTGGGAAAGAATACTGGCAGACAGATCATTTGATTCAAATGGAAGTCTGAAACTACCCTGGGTGGGAACTCAGGAACTTGTTTTCTCTTAGTACCAGGTATATGAATCCTAAGACAGTGAAGTGTGATTTGGGAATCTCTTCATGTGTGGAGCACATCGACAGTCTTAAAGCTAAGAAGGTCTGAGCCCTCAAAAAGAAGATTCTCCACAGTTGTCTGCCAGAACTTTGGAGCCAGGGTGCCCATCCCATAATTTCTGGTGTTGCTGTGGATTGCAAAGCAGGGTCAGAAGCGCCTAGAGGTGCCCGTAAGGATGTTCTAGCTATTAAGTCTCCTTTTGTAACTAAAAATTTAAATTCCTCTCTGCTTTCCTGACGTAGTTTATCAGTAAAATCCAAAAAAATTGTTTTAGTTCAAAAAACCATAACCAACAATGCTTGATAATTCAAATTTCTGAATTGTAAGATGGTAGAAAAACACTCATGACCAAATAAGTCAAGGAATTTTGGGTCCTTTTCACTTGGAGCAATTCTCGGTTGACACTCGGTGCTCAAGTAACCTCTGATGCTCTAGTCTGAGTACCTGAGGCAGCTAACTTTGGGCTGCCATACAATACCAAAGTCTCACACCATTCTCCCTCTAAGCTCCCACAGTACCCAATTTGGGCTATGGAGTCTCTTCTGAATGGGAGCAGTACGTAGACTTAGACATCTTTTTAGAAGTTCCCGGAGAGGATCTACCTTTCACTTTAGCAAAGCAGCAATGCTCCTTTTCCTCTGAGGACTTAATAATCATCCTACTGGAATCTGAAGATGGAGCCTCGAATCTAGTGGATCCATAACTCACTGGAGCACTTCTGGATTATGATGGAACTTGTCCAGCTGTGCCCAGATCAGAGGCTGGTCCCATGGAGCAGTCTAATAAAATCATTTTTAGATTTGCCTCCCTAGATTTTGAAGTCCTTTTAGAAAAAGATTGGTACACCAAGCATTTACTGGAGATATGGGATTCCCCAAACAAAAAAGACATCAGCAGAGACAGGAATTGCTGTCTCACAAAAGAGGCAATATTTAAAATCATGTGATTTACGATGAGATATCCCTAAGTGCCACTAACAGGAAAAAGATCTCAGTGAGGAAAATAATAAAGAAGGAACATAAAAACTTCCTAAACTATCAATAAAAGAAAGCCTATTCAGAATGTTCCAGCAGGTAATTATCCAACTAACATTAACTATCCTAATGAACACTAATAAATATCTATTACATTTAGAGATTATGAAACAAGTGATACATTGAGAGGGAGACACTGGGGGCTCCGTCTCACAGCCATGAATGGTGAGAAGTGGCAGTTGGGCCCTTCCGCCCCTTATGTCTTTAGGACAGAAGCACAAGGACAGTCGGCACATGTGCAGCCCCAATGGACACTACTGGCCAAAAACTCCAATCTTGAGTGCATGGGGTGCATGTGCACCAAGCATGGAATATAATGAACAAGCACTCTAAAGAAGAGGGTCACAATGGAGATTACACTATTTTGAAAACTATAAATCAAATTTATTTTAAAACCTACAATTTAATAATAAAAAGAGAGAACACTGTTGACCTATCAAACCTGACTTGGACTAAAACACAGTCAAACCAAGGACGGAAACAGCGAATGAAACAACACATGCATTAAAATTTTATTCCATTTCCATTTACTCTTATATCTTGAGCCCTTAAAAATATGATCCTAGTTTGAAAAGTGATTATGTAAAAATAGCACATTACTTATCAGATCAGCTCTTTCTGTCCATTCAGAGACACATCTGCTCATTTTAGGAGTAAAAATAAGCTTTTCTTTACTTTTTTTATTCCTATTAACACAGTAGAGCCAACACAATGAGAAAGAGTAGGGTAACGTCTACTCCTTCTTGTCAGTAACCAACAAAATCGTTTACTTTGGTCCAATCATTTAAAGCTCTACGAACTCGAACATAAAAGATAGTGCAAGTGTAACTAAGGGCATCTGCTGTAGCCAGCAGCGTTGCATAAGTGTAACTGAAGGCTTAAATCGGCTTGCATAAGCTTTGTTACTGACAGATTCCAAAGTGGTAAGTGGGCAGGCAGTTAAAAAAATAACAAAACACTGCTTTTTACTTGTCAACCAAGCATATTTGATCTACAAATTTTTGGGAAACAAACCTGCAATCCCACAATGATTTTTATAGTTGCTTTTCAGAGCAGAATCACACTCTAAACACAAAACAATTTTTATCTAAAAGAAAAGATTTTGAACCACTATCTGGTTTAATGGGTGCTCTTGGGAAAACCTATATAAACAAACCAAAATTTACCTTCTTCTATCAAACTGCTCAGGCATAGGATGCTCAAGCAGACTAGGTGCTTGGTGCACTATTATTTATGTCTAAAGTTATGCTGGCATTGAAGCTAACAGTTTTATAGTGAGAAACACCATTGTGAGATTAGGTAGCATAAAACTGAAGTAACGCAGTCGTAAATTAGGCCCAGAGAGTAAGAATTACTCACCAACAACACAAAGCATAGTTGGTAGGCCCAATTTTTGATCTACTAGATTTGAATCTCCTTTTTATTAGATTATGTTCTACATAATTTATTATAAAGATTTTTTTATTGATAACTTCACGCAAAAATGACACTTCATACCATTTTACTCAAGAAGAGCACTTTGTGCCTGCACCTGCACCACTGAAGTCAACTGGAGTTTTGCCACTGACTTCAATGGAAGTAGAATCTGGCCTCTATAATAATCCCCCTTCCTGCCACAGATGCTGTCAATTTGCAATAATATATCAGCCTCTTCTGGGTAAAGATTCATACCTGCCACTGGGGAGAGGGGGGAAAGCCACAGACTTCAACTTCTTGTCTTCTGCAGCTGTTAAGCAGTTTTTAATAGTCTCCTCAAGTTGCTCTTCACATTTGTCTGAACCCCACTGTGGGATGTGACAATGGATCACAAACTTTGCTGCTAGTCCACTGGACTGGCTGAGGGCAGCTAATACATAAAGAAAAGGCGATGATTAGTTTCTAATACAGAGGTGGGCAAACTACGGCCCGCGGGACCATCGTGCCTGGCCTTTGAGCTCCCGGCTGGGTAGGATAGTCCCTGGCCCCTCCCCAGCTGTCCCCGCTCCCCCACAGCCTCAGCTTGCTGCACCGCCAGCACTCTGGCCTGCTGCTCCTGCCAGGGAGTGCGGCAGTGTGGCTGTGAGCTCCTGCCGCTCTGAGCAGCATGGTAAGGGGGCGGAGAGGTTGGATTAGGGGCAGTGGGTTCCAGGGGGCAGTCAGTAGACAGGGAGCAGGGAGCGGTTGGATGGGGCAGGGCGGTCAGGAGATGGGGAGGTTGGATTAGGGGGTGGGATTCCTGGGGGCGGTTAGGGGTTGGGGGTGTGGATAGGGGGTTGGGGCAGTCAGGTGACAGGGAGCAGGGGGGTTGGATGGGGGTGGAGTCCCGGGGCATGGGTCCCAGGAGGGGGCAGTCAGGGGAAAGGGAGCGGGGGGGTTGGATGGGGGTGGAGTCCCGGGGCATGGGTCCCAGGAGGGGGCAGTCAGGGGAAAAGGAGCAGGGAGGTTTGGATGGGTTGGGGGTTCTGATGGGGACAGTCAGGGGGCGGAAAGTGGGAGGGGATGGATAGGGAGCAGGGGCCAGGCTGTTTGGGGAGGCACAGCCTGCCCTACCCGGCCCTCCATACAGTTTTGCAACCCCTCAGGCCAAAAAGTTTGCCCACCCCTGTTTTAATATAATCATTTTATAATTATCACACCTTCCATCCCAAAGCACTTCACTCACAACACTAATTATTGTTCACTCCAGAAAACTGTTACAAGAACATTAAGGCTGCAAAATCAAGCACTCAAAAATCAGGATATGTTCCAGAATTAAGGTTGCAAGGAGGTGAATTTTCAGAGTACTTAATATTTTGATAGCACTTTATATGTTGAAAGTACAGTTCCAATCAACTTCAGTTGCAGTTGTGAGCGCTTAGCACTTCTTCAAATCTGTCACCAGGTGTCTCACATTGGCCACCCAGAAAACGAGGAACATACAATTAGTGCTCAACTATGAAAAGTCTGGTTTAAGTGACTCGCCCAGGATCACATAGGAACTTCGTGGCAGAGACTGCAATAGAATCCAATTCTCCAGGGTCCCACTCAACTTCATGGAAATGGATAAAGTTTGGCAAAGTTGTAAGCAACTGAAAACAGAGTCTTATTTGTAGATTAGAAGGCCAGATGAAACCATTGTTATCATCTAGTCTGATCTCCTTTATAACACAGGCTATGAATCTTTCCCAAAATAATTCCTTAACTATATTTTAGAAAAACATCCAATCTGGATTTAAAAATGGTCAGTGATGGAGAATCCACAAGGATCCTAGGTAAGATGTTTCAATGGTTAATTACTCTCACTGTTAAAAATGTACACCTTATTTCCAGTCTGAATTTGTACAGCTTCAACTTCAAGCCATTGGATTGTGTTATTCCCATCTCTGCTAGATTAGAGATCCCATTATTAAATATTTGTTCCCCATGCAGGTACTTATCCACTGTAATCAAGTCACCCCCTAACTTTCTCTTTGTTAAGCTAAATATATTGAGCTCCTTGAGTGTATCAGTATAAGGCACATTTGCTAATTTTTTAATTATTCTCATGGCTCTTCTCTAAACCCTCCAATTTATCGACATCCTTGAATTGCAGACACCAGAACTAGACACAGTATTCACAACAGTGCCAAAAACAGAGGTAAAATAACATCTCTACTCCTTACTCATATTATAATGGAAAATGTTGAGAAACGTTACCTATGAGTGGTGCTACTTAAAATATACACAAGAATTTTCTGATCTACCACTTAACAAACAGTCAGTCACCTTTGGGATGGAGCATAGTATTTACAGGAGAGCTCCAGCCATTTTAAAAACTTTTAGTATCATACATTAGCATCTAAAATAATGAAAGTGGCAATTTTAAAAATACCAGCATAGCATGTGACAACACAAATGGTAAAATACATTCATTTCATTGGGGTTGTTATCTTCCCTGGCAACAGGTTACCTGAATGAAGACCATTTATTTTCCATTGATGCTAATGGGTAAAAAAGTAGTTTACTCCAAAAGTGTTTAAGACTCAGTGTGACAGTGAGGTAAAATAAATTGTAGCAAGTCTCTCAAGGGTAGTTGTGGATGGCCCTTTGCTTGGGACTTTTAAAACTAGGCTATTTATTTGGGGGATTTTTAAAATGAGACTATTTAAAGAATCCAGTCTCTGTGGTTTTGAGACACTAGACTGGACAAATGTATTAGAAAATGTATTGTAGGGAACATTGTATATAATCTTTTTTCCATCTTCAACCCCTATAAATCAGTTAATTTTGTTCACAAGTAAGATGCAACCTCCACAAAGTAAGCTCAGAGCTATACATTGCCACAGATATTTTAAAATTTCCACAAGTATTTCTTTCAGAATTATATATTTTATCATATAGCCGTTGTGCCAGGGGTGGGAGAATAGCAATTTAAGGAAAAAGATAATCACAAGATTTACATCTATATTATATTCAAAGAATTAAAGTACAGTAAGAGAAAACTTCTGCTTTGATTATTAGTTCTAATAAAATTGGTTTAATACAAGGTAACTTATGAACTACTGCTCTTTTTATACTTAATATATTATACTGTGAGCTAGATCCTTAGCTATGGCTGAGGAACACACAATGTGCAAGTCTGGGGGTGCAGGATAGGTCAAAGGTCATAAAGCTCACCTTTGCATTCCCCCAATCTTGGGGCTGACATGGGCAGAAATGGTCCTCTGGTGTAAATTAAGGCAGCCTAACTACTGCCACGGGGCTAAAAAACAAAGCCATAAGATGGGCACAGAACAGGGACATCCTAGCCCCCTCCCTTTCATCCAGGTATGTCCCCTGTACTAGCACCAGTTAGAAAGAAGGCATAGGAGCCTCTACATTACCAGAGAGATTTTTTAAAAAATATTTCCTAGTGTAGACAAAGCCCTAGATTAGCCCAAGAACAGATCAGAGTGGCAGGAGAAAGGAATGAGTATTTGTGAGGAGAAAAAGCTGATATATACAAAAAGATAATATAGCACCCTTTTTACCTTCAGCAACTTCCAAAGGTCCTTGTGATTTGCGGAGCTCCTTTACTGTTTCTAAAAATTCTTTCCCTCCAGCCTTTTCCAAGGCCTTGCCTGCAAGGAAACAAAGCAAAAGGCTTTTATTTGAAACAAACAAAACAAACTGTATTTCTTTTAAAAATAAAATACAACTGCAAATTGTTTCAAGAACAAAAATTATACATGTATTATCTTAATTCACTCTTAATCAACAGGATTTATTTATCAACCCTAAACTGCCTGTTTTTATTAATACTTATTTTTATTTACATTTATGCATTTTACAAGAACCAAATGAATAAATGTTTGTTAACATGTGTGAACTAAAAATGTATGAAATAAACACTGTATGTTTAAACCATGTGGAATGATCATGTATTCTTCACCTTGAACAAACTAAAACATTTCCTCTTTCCTACTTCACTCAGCAAAAAGAGGTTGGTATATAAACAACCAAGAGGAAATAATGTTGTATTTAATTTTTTAAAAATGCATTTTTGTAAGTGAAGCCTGTTCATTTGGACATATGGATATATCTGGATATATTGTAAAAATGAGATTCTGATATCACAAACAGAAAGCCATCTCTATTTTTTTCCTGATATGATAATAAAGAAAAAGTGAGAGGATATATGTGAATGGAAAATTCAAAAGGTTTAAACGTGCTAAATTTTTCTAAATGCCAGTTACGTTTGACCATCATTGTTCTTAATATGCATAATTAAATTAAATCATCTCCCGATAATATGAGATACCAGCAGAATGACCTTATTGTTAAAATCTTGAAATTAAGGTATGCTTTTTTGTACTGGTTTCAGAGTAGCAGCCGTATTAGTCTGTATCCGCAAAAAGAAAAGGAGTACTTGTGGCACCGTAGTCTCTCTCTAAGGTGTCACAAGTCCTCCTTTTCTTTTTTTGTACTGTCCAACATGGCTGCTTATTATTTGAGTTCTTGAAAATAACACAGCATGTAACACTTTTTTTTTACTGGTTTTGGTACAGTGAGTTAGTATTTCATTATTTGAAGTACCTGAACTTTATTCTCTATAAAATATGCCATCTTTTTTGTAGTAGAGGTTTAAAGAAAAGTGTATAGTAGAGTTTGCAGTACTTTCTTCTCAGATAGCCCTGAGAAGGATGAAAGCATGGGAACCAGATCTCTCATGCTAGAAACTATCATAAATAAGATGTGCACAGTATATGAAAAAATTCTAATCAAAATACAAAATGTGCCTTGCAAGAATTTTCCAAGAATATCCCAAAACTGCTAACCTAAAAGTCAGGTTCAGTAATTTAGAAGATGATACAGTGGTTACTGGCAGAGATATCTCTACTGTGTAACTTCACTTCAGTTCCCTGGTGGAGAAAGTGGACAATCAGCAAAACTGTGCCAGCAGAAATTATATTTTATTGCACTTCCAGAATAAGCTAACTGATCCAATTACTTTTCTGCAATAATTTATAAAATAAACAAACAGTTGAGATGCCAGTGGGGATGAAATCCTTGCTGAATGATTATATGAAGCCCTGACCCTGTGCCTATTTCTGGGATCCTGACTGCAACTGATCTCGGGCAAGTAACTTCACTGCCCTGTGCCTCAGATTCCGCACTTATAAAATGGTACCTCCTTATCTCACAGGAGTGGTGTAAGGCTTAAGACACTGATGTTTACAAAGCATGTGAGATCTACAGTGAAAGACATGATAAGAAGTATTATGACTACATTTCATTTCCTTCTGAGTTTTTTCAAATGCAAATACAAAATAATTGTAACACAGAAAGGGATATATGAAGAGATTACTCACCTTGTGCAGTAACTGCGGTTCTTCAAGATGCGTGTCCTTATGGGTATTTCACTTCAGGTGCTCATGCCCTTGATCGGAGATTTATAGTTAACAGCATCTGTTCAGCATGCATATGCACCCAATGTGTCCTCGTGCTGAACACCAAGGCTATATAGGAGTGTGCAGGCAAACCACGCTGAGTTCTTTCTTCACCCAAACATCCCTTAAGGAACAGTCTGAAGAAGAGAGGGCAGAGGGCAGGCAGTGGAGCATTCACAGGGGGACACATCTTGAGGAACCGCAGTTACTGCACAAGGTGAGTAACCTTATCCTCAAGTAATGTCCCTATCGGTCCTCCACTTCTGAGCAGTATCCCCAAATGGAGTAGGGAATTTCAGAATAGAGTCCAGAACTGAAGACAGGACTGCAGAACCAAGTGCTGTCTCGAATCTGACAGCTTGGATCAGGGCCTAATGTTTCAAAAATGTATGTATTGAAGCCTGTGTAGTGGCTCTACATATTTCAGTACATTCTTCAGTAGTGCCACAGAAGTTGCTTGTGATCTGGTTGAATGTGCTATAACCCTCTGGGGGGATGAACACCGGTAACCTTATAACAAGCAATAATACATCCAGAAATCCACTTCAGTAGTCCTTGACTAGAAATTCAGGATTCCTTGGAGCTATCTCCAAAGGAAACAATGACTTTCTAAATTGCTTGGTCCTATCTAAGTAAAACACCAATGCCCTTCTAACGTCCAGGTATGTAAGCAGGATTCCTATAGGGAACTATGTGGCTTCGGGAAAAACACAGGCAGATGAATGGACTGATGGAGATGGAACTCCAGTAGAACTTCAGGCAAGAATTTATAGACGTGAAGAGATCTTGTCCTTAAAGAACGCCATGAGATGGCAGGGGGCCTACCATCAAAGCTCCAATCTCCCTGACCCTTCAGGCCAACGTGATGGCTACTAAAAAGACCGTCTTCATAGACAAATGCAAGAGCGAACAGGTTGCCATAGGTTCAAATGGAGATCTCATAAGGTATTTAAGTACCAGGTTGAGGTTCCATGTTGGGATGGGGGTCTCGAACCTGGGAATAGAAATTCCCCAAACCCTTACAAACTTAGATGACACAGGGTGAGCAAATATGGAGAACCCTTCTACTGGAGGTTAAAAGGCTGATATTAAGGCCAAATGGTCCTTAATTGAGCTAACTGATAATCCTGATTTCTTTAGATCCAGCTGGTAATCCAGGATGACTGAAACTGACACAGATTCAAGCAGAAGGCAGTGACAACATAAATGGAAGAGTGTCTTCCATTTCTGCAGGTAAGCAGTACAGATTAATGTCTTTCTACTATTCAGTAATACCTGCTGTACTTCTGAAGAGCAGGAGGATTATAACCCTGTGAACCATCGAGGAGCCATGCTCTGAGGCAGAGAACCTCTAGGGTGGGAAGAAGCATGCGACCCACATCCTGTGACAGGAGATGAGGAATGGTTGGGAGCTTGAATGACAGCTGAGCACATGGGTGAAGCAGATAAGAGTACCAAGCTTGTCTCAGCCAGGTCAGCACTGTAAGGATAACCCTGTCCTATCTGATCTTGTTCATCACCCTTAATATCAGTGGCATTGGAGGGAATGCACAGAACAGTCCCCTCCTCCAAAACAGAAGAAAAACATCTCCCAAGGACCGGTGGCCTCATCCAGGGACCAGGAAGAAATATATGTTTGAGGGGTAACCTCCTTATTCACCTTAGCCTCCTGTTCCTCAATTGTCTCTTCCTGTGGGGGGGGACAGGTTGGGGATGGGAGAGCTGAACAACTCTGGCCTCCGTATCAGATGGTACCAGTGGTCTGGCAAATTGCTGTTAACAGACAGCCAATATTCCCCACTGCGGAGCCCATATAGAAGTGGGTGTGGCATGCAGGATTGGTTCCACCACCCTTGATAGCAAGCTATCAGACAAAGGCTTCCTGGAGAGACATGTCTGAGAATCCTGAACAGAAACAGAAGAGACCAACTGAAAGTCTTCCTTATCTTCCTCCATCAACTCCTATGGGGTAACACCCACAGAAAATGGTGTAAAGTCTTGCAGTACTGGAGGCGGTAATCCAGAGATCAGGGTCTCAGCACCCACAGGTGCTCAGTACCCATGAGGAGTGGGGACTCTCGCTCATCCATTATTGAGAGGTCCCTTGTATACCTCCTCCTGTGGTACTGAGTAAGAGATCAGTACCAATGCAGTAGCTGCATTGACAGAGCTGCTGATGGTATCATTGGTGGGCGTACAAAAGTTGATGCTAATGATACCTGACTCTATATTACATGCTTGGTGCCAAGGGTGTCGAAGGCATAGGTACAATGGCTGGACAGAATACACAGATAACAGCTGGGATGAACGCAAAGGTACCAATGGCTGGGACCAAACCCAGTGGTTCCCGTCCCAAGTGTCTATGCTCCTTGCTCAAAGATGGTAATGAGGTCTTCTCAGAACAATGTCTTGTTCCTTGGAGGTCCAGGACTTCACGAATCCGCTGGTATCGGAGGAGGAGTCCTTTGAGTCAATGGTACCAAGCCAAGAAGCTGAGGTTTCAGAGACTGTAGATCTCTTCAGAGACCTGGTCTTTTTCAGAGCTGGCTCCTTCAGATGAGAGTCTGTGCTCCTGTTTTTGGAAGTTTTCCCTGACACTTCCAACATCTCCCCTTTCTTAGGACAAGGTTGTGCCAAGTTAGAAGAGGCACTGGATCTAGGTGCCGAGGGGGAGGGGTTGGAAGTCTCCTGACCTGGCTCAGACAGTAGTTGAAGGGAGCACTCCATGATAAGCAGTCTGATCTTAATCTCCTTGTTCTTCCTTGCCCTGGGCTTGAGGGCAAGATGGAAGTTGCACTTCTTGGCGATGTAGGACTCCTCCAAGCAATGGAAGTATTTAGAGGGGCCGTCGCTCACTGGTATGGACTCTGAGCAGGAGAGGCAGCGTTTGAAGCCCAGAGAAGCCAGGAATGCCCTGCCAGGAGGAAACAAGTCCCCTAGAGGGAAAGAGAGGAGAAATGATCCTCTCCCTACTTAACTGTACTAACTAATTATAATAACACAGAAACTAACAACTAACTACACTAAGTATTCTAAGAAAGATAAACTGAGGCATGCTCAAGGGGGACACATCAAGGCTACATCTCAGACCAAGGCAGTTGAGAAGGAACTGAGGGCAGTTCATCCGCGCACTCCTTTATAGCCTCGTTGTCAGCATGAGGAGGCATAGGGCGCGGGGCTGGACAGGCACGGCTAACTGAAAATCTCTGATCAAGGGCTACAGAGGTGCATGCACACCTGAGGTGGAGCACCCATAGGAAAAATACTTGAAGAACAATTGATTATTTAACTGCGTTAGCGGCCATGGATTCTAAAAAGATGAAAACTTTTCAAAGGCAGTAATAAAAGAGAAAGAAAGGCAGTAATAAAGGACCAGCTAGGCTGTCTATACTACAGCCTGTGTTGGCATAACTTATGTCGCTCAGGGGTGTAAATATTTCACCCCCTTAAGCAACATAAGTTACACCAACATAAGCATTTATGTGCACAGCCCTATGCTGGTGGAAGAGCTTCTCTTGCCAATGTAGCTTATACCACTCACAGAGGTGGGTTTTTTATGCCAATGGGAGAGCTCTCTCCCGTCAGCATAGAGCATCTTCACCAGATGCGATACACCTGCACCGCTACAGCGCTGTATGTATAGACATACCCTTAGTCTTAATACTACGAACCACAGAAGATTTAACAAGCCTTGACTTGGAAGGGAGAATGATAAGATATCACACCTATACTATTTTGATCATGGCATTTGTCATCTCATCTGTATGTAGGCTATTATTAACAAGTCACTGATTAGCTGCAAATAGGTACCAACAAATATCTGCTCAGTTCCAGCCTGGTTTTCAGGACAGAAATGAAAGAGTATTCAATTTCAGTAGTCAGCCAGTAGACCAGATATCAGTTCAATGCCAGATTTACCTTTGCTGCTTCGAATGAGCCTTACCTATTTCCTCCTTGAGGTCTATTTCAGCAGTTGTTGGGTGAACAATGCCTTCTACTTTCATGGAGCCAATATGGCTGACGTCACTTTGTGTCAGAGAAAGCTGCAAGATGAGAATGAGAATGTAGAAAGAATTAAACTGATAATTTTAACTGTGAAATCATTTTCATACCAAATTACTACAAGAGAAGCCAGATGACTATTCATGGGTCATTCATTTTACTGTAGTCAAGTTGTCTGATTCCAAGTTTTAAACTTTACTTTTATATGCTCTTAGAGTAGACCAGGCCTAATTCCCACCCACACATCAATCACAGAACTGGAAACAACCAATAATTGAAGCCTTAATGAGAGTTTAAAAAGCCCTTCTACAGATTCTACAGTCTCATTTCTCTCTTTGTTCAATCTCAACAAAAAAAGACGACAGAAATATTGAGATTATCACACAAAAAATGACATTACAGCTCTATAAGCTTTGGAAACTCACCATTTGCACATATTAAGTAGAGTTTGTTGGAGACTTGCTCTTAAATTCTGTGACTACTTCATTTGCAGTGAGCATGCTCCCTAACCTCACTGAGTCTCCCTACTTCATTCTGAAGCAGAAACACAGACCTGAACTTCTGGATGATACACAATGGATTCTTCTTCTGTTGAAAATGCCCTTTGGTCTGGGGAAGATATGCGGGGCTGGTAGCCAGAAAACTGTGACTTTTACCAATTTCCACTGAGTGGACTTCTGTGCACTTCACAACTGTTATTATTGAGCAAGGCCTAATAACTCTACTCTAGTAGCAGGGTAAGTATCAGACCTCCCCATTTTACAGAAGTAAATGGGAGGCTGCACAAAGTCACATCTGGTGGAATTGGGAACAGGACCCATATGCCAAACAGAGCAGACCCAAGGCTCATCCACTTAACTACACTATTGCTCCAAAAGAACCTGCCAGATTTATGTGCTGTGGTATGCAATCTGTAAATTGGGGCTACCCCTTCATATGCTAAAGCACTGGATTAGCAGGAACTGACGAATCTGAAGGAGTGGGAGCCAACATGTCCAGTTTCTGGTGAATCAAACCAAATTGACACTGGAGTACTGAAACCTGGGAGAGGTGCTATTGGCTTGGTGCCAATGCACAAGACTTGCATATGGTCCCTGTGCCTAAGGGGTCCAGGCCAACAGCCGTAGGTGCTGATCTCAAATGGAGTCAGTGCCAAAGAGGCCCTGACAAAGCATACATATGGCTCCAATGATTGAATATTTTTAAAAGGTTCTGAGATTCATAAGGCAGGCATGCAACTCCTTCGGGGGGGGATTTGCAGAAGAAATTTCATGAAATATATTTTTCTTTGAAAGATCATACCCTTTAAAATGAAAAAGCTTGAAGGATATCTCCATAGTTAAGTCTGTAAGAAATTATGCAGTATCTTTCAAATAGAATGATAATAAGAGGTTAAGGAAGCTAAAAAAAATCCTGACCACTATGCGAAAAAAAGAGGAAGGAGAGAGTTTTGTTAGACAGTTTAGCTGGACAATGTGGACATGGTAAAATCCTGTTAGAAACATTTTAGAATTCTGGGCAGCCAAACTGTTAGAAATCATTTTAGCTGGAAGATTAAACATGGTTTGTTAAGACAACCAGAAGCAACGTAGCCAGGCCTTAACTAAACATGGCCCCCCTCTTCCCCCATAGCTATACTGGGAGACCCAAATCATCATTTCACTCTCACCAGGAAGAAAGAATATCCAGTCTTGATCTTGTAATCCTTCAGTCTGCAGACAAATCTTATAAGGGCCTAATCCAAAACCGACTGACTTCAGTGGGGTTTGGATCCATCTTTAAATCCCAAACAACTGAGCCAGAATGCTGGGCGAGAGCTTGTGTTCATGCAGGATGGGAAATATACTTCTGCTGATTTTAGACTCCATGGTGCCATCATATTTTACTATATAACATCTGTTCTCTGACTTCTATTACCTTCTGTCCTGGAACAAGGCTCTTAGAAGACAGGATGGTGAATCCATCCCCAGGTCCATCCTCAGATGTTGAATTTGAGGCCCCTTCTTTTTCATTCTCCTTCTGCTTGCTCTATTGGAGGACAGAAGGCAAAATGAAGCAATAACAGTCAGGAAAAAGAAGGCTGTGATTATAATCTTTCAAAAGATAAAAGCAACAACCTTTTCATCTAAACTTCACAGGATGACAACTAAACCATAGCTTTTTACTACCCAAAAGTTATGTATTAGAAGAGTTCCCTACTATTTACTAAACATAGTAAAAGTTAAAGGTGGAGCACAGTGGAGGTTTGTGGTACTGTAAGGTTTAGTAGTACATACATATGTCTGCAGCATATTGAGGATTTTTGTTTTTGTTATTTTACTTATGCTGCATTAATTTATGAGTATTCAAACTAAATAACATAGCTAAATGCTCTAATTTATATGTAAAAACTGGGAGCAGCCACTAGAATCTGAAAATAAATCATAATCCAATGGTACTTCTATCACACAATTACCCATCACACAACTGATGACCTAGATGAAAAATTACTCACCAGTAACTGTAGTTTTTGGAGAGTGTTGCACCTGCAAATTCACACTTGTGGGATGCACCCCTTGGTGCAGCCTAGCTTCAGGAGTCTTCTAGGAAAAAAACCATGCCCTTCATGGCTCTGAACATTCAGACCAAAGGATGTAAGAGGCCAAGTAGATCAACACCTCAACTCCTCCTGCTAAACCCCAGAGTTTTGAGAATGTAGAATTTAGAGTAAGAGGGGAAGGTGGCTAGTGATGTGAATATGTAGAGGTATTACTCTGAGACCTACAATTATTGTTAAGTAATTCTATTTTCTTCTTAGAGGTGGTCGCTGCATGTTCCCAGCTCTGGCAGTATGGCAAGCAGTACAAACCCAAAGACGAGCTGAGCAATCCTAATTAAACAAGGATTGCAAAGTAAGTATTGGATCTAAGTGCCAAGTCAAGAACACAGTGCTGCATAAAGGTGTGAACAGAACTCCAGGGAGCAGCTCTAGTAGTTTTCTATGATGAAAGCATAAAAGAAGGATGAATTGATACCACTGTAGCCTTTGTAGAGGGAGCCCTAAAGTTCTCAGGTACTGTTACTCTGGCTAAGATGTAAGTGCATAATCTCATCCATTTCAACGGATGATGTACGGAAATGGCATTATCTTTACATTTATCCCCCAAGGCTTCAAAAAGTCTAAGTGATGACCTAAATGACTTAGTCCTATCCAAATAAAATCTCAAACACCTCTTAACATGCAGAGTATGTAGTCTCATTAGGTTTTGGAAAGAAAAACCAAATGAGACTGCAAGAGTAATGTTTTGAGTTAGGTGGAACTCAGAATCCCCTTCAGCTGCTAGCAATGGGGAAAAAAAAACAATTAAATACGTGCTCCGCTTGTGGGGTGATTGACTGATAGCCTCCTGCTAGACAGGGACAGAGGTAGGTGATGATCCACTAGATACCTGGACCTTATAAGCATACTAAGGAAGCTCAAGAGGGGAGAGACTGCAGAGAAGGCAGGACTCTCCTGCAGGCTGCGAGACATACAGGGAGCAGGGTAGGCTCCTGTGGTGGAGAGACTTAAACTAGGGCCTTGGCAGGGAGATCCTTAAGGGAAGCAACTACAGTCCCCAGAAAGGGGAGTCAGTGGAGGGAAAAACTTGCTAGACAAAAAGCAACAAAGACAAAACTCTGCAGAAGCAGATTAGGGTTCTGTGGGGGAGGCCCTGAGATAGGTCCAGTAAGAGCACTTCAGTGGACCCCAAGAGGGAAGGAAAAGTTATTAGTTTAAAGATTTACTTGGCCTTTGTTGCACCCTTTTGCTACCCTGGAATGGGTTTTAAACTTCTAAGTGACTTGACGAGAAGACCAAGCCAAAGAAGACCCTAGAGGTGACCAGTGTGCAAAGACAAGTGGTCTGCAAGGAGTGTTAGAAATAAGCATCTCTGGCAGCACTGCACTCTAACACAAAGGGGTGCACTCCTGGTGACTACTTTTGGTAAAAACTTTGGGTGGGGATACGGGACAGCTTTGTCCCCATGGCCTAGAGAGTGAAGGAAAGTTTAGCAGTCTAACCTCCAACCCATTCATTCTTCTCACAGATGTAATTGCAATTAAAAATATATATATATTTTTAAAAAGCATTGAAATCATGTCTCCAGCAAGAGACCAAAAGGTAAGAGGAGAAGATGGAGACTGATGTGAATACGCAGAGACATAACTCAGAGAATTACAAAAGGCTGAAATAATGCATCCTGTTCAGCACCAAGTATAGACCCCATGTCAGGACAAGTTCTCTGACCACTGGAAATCTTAACCAGAAATCCTGTCATGGTAGTATGGTTGAAAACTTTACAGTTGTCAGCTAGAGGGTAGTGATGGTCTGCTGCTTTGTTGTTGGGCTTCTTGGGAAGGAGGGTGGAAAAAATAAGGGTGGGGGATGAGGAAGTGTATTTTACATGCTAGAGTATCCTTTCCACAAAGCTGTTGCAGGATCCTAGTGACTGTATAGGTTTTTGTGAAGGTATCGTAGAAGGTAATGTGAATGTACCTGAAAAGTATCCTCTGAACACTGTCTGCCACGATTCTGGAAGCTCATTATGGAAATAAACTGATGGCTCATTTCTCCACTCACTTTTGCTATTTTGAGAGAAAATCCTGGACCATGTACTTCTCACTCATTATCAACCCCTACCTCCCACTTCCAGTTGTCACAAACAAGATACCAATCAACTAATAAGCAATGGGAAGGAAACCATCTAATTTCTCCTATTCCCCTGTATCATTCTTCATTCAACCAGTCTCTCCCACCTTCCAAAACACCAAACCTAGTTCCTGCTTACCTTTTTGGGTGCCCTGGCTTTGGTAGCCTTTGCTTTCTTTCCACTCTTCTTGCTCACCAAGGATTTCCTCCCTCTCTTTTCAGGAGACGGGGAAAGGATAGTTTCAGATTTTCCTTTGGCACCTCGTTTTTTGGCAAGAAGCTCTGGTTGAATTCTGGGCAGGACCCCTCCACTTGCAATGGTCACTCCTTTTAGCAACTGCAGGGAGAGGCAGTGTAAAGAAGCATGACTTATCTGATTAAAATCCCTCATTCTTGACTAGAACTGTCCTCACAGACTACACTGCACTATACACAAGCAGAGTATACAATATTTAAAACACGCATTTGATTCTATTTGTTGAATTTGTACTGTAATGCTCATACAAAAGTAACAATGCACTTCACAATAATTATTTAATAGCAAAGGTAAACAGCCTGAAATTAAAGGATGCTGGCTAGGGATACAGAATTACAGACATAAAAGCAATTAAGGAATTTTCCATCTGGCAAGCCTAGTATAAAAAATAACTCAGCTATGGATCAGATTAATAAACTAGAGATAGAGTACTGCTGAACTCTAAGTGACAATGATAGATTCTGGCATTATTTATGGGACCACTGAACGAATGGGGTCCTGAAGTACACCCAATAAAATCTCGTCTATAAAGTCAACTACGCATTCATATATTGCTGGCAAATCACTTGACAGAACATGCAGGGGGCCATTTAAGACATAAAGAACAAGGCATTAGCTACAGTGTCCTTTTCCATTCCTTACACAAATAAGAGTCCATGGCATAAAAGTCATTTTTGTTCTTACGTTGGCGGACAGATTCTTGTTTCATTTTCTGTTGTGGGAACCATCTTGGACTCATCTGAATACCACACTGGACTGTTTCTAAACTTTAAGTATGGCAGCTGTACTTGAGCTACAGTGTACAGACAACCATACACTAAAATACTGAAAGCATACCTGGTTCAGTTCCTCATCATTAGCAACTGCCAGGAGGATGTGTCTGGGGGCAATTCTTCCCTTTTTGTTATCTCTTGCTGCATTCCCTGCTAGCTCTAGTATTTCAGCTGCAAACACATTGGGGGTAAAAATCAGCAACAGAAAAGCAACAAATCTAGCAAAATTGCAGTGCAAGCTTTCTTCAGAGAATAATCAAGCATCTTGTTCCCCACCCTAGAATCTGACGTGCAGTATCACAGCATCTTTCTGACCAACTTTTCCTGTAAGGTATCATTTCCAGATGTGTGTGGGGCGTGGGTGGGGGGAGAGGGTTTGGCTTTAAAGGCTCAATAGCAAATAACTGAAATCCTAGGTTTGATCTACTTAGAAATTATCCTATTATGGTGGCAAATGTTCTCAAGATAAAAACAGCCTGACTTTCATTTACACTAATGCCACTTTACATTGCCAAAGCAGTATAAAGTGGCCTTAGTGTAAAGGAAAATCGGGCTAAAAATCTTTTTATTAAAAATTCACCACTCCTTACTGAAAAACATAGAAACAAAACAATAGTCAATGTTTATGTAAAATTACAAAAAATATTTTGTGATCCTTTCCTACTTCTCTAAACAGACACTGTAAAAAGCTAGGGTGCTAAAAATTGGTTCATGTAATTCTAAATTGCTTTCTTCAAATCTCAAGTTAAAATGCTCTTTCAAAAAATGTCAGCAGCCCAGAATTCACACGTAATCCTACAACAATAAAGCAGTGTGAGCATCCAATGGAAAAAACAAAAGTATAGTAAAGAGAGTCTTGATAGTGAGGATTCTTAGGACTAGACAAGTAAAAGTGCTGCTGGCAAGGACTGAGATGCATTGATAGAATTATGTTGAAGGCCAGTAGAATAGAACAGAAATACTACAAGTCTAGATTGAGGGGCACTGACAAAGCTGTGTAAAGATTCATTTTACATAAGGAAGAGTTTTGGTTTGGATGCAAGTAGGTAACTTAGAGATTCAGACTGCATGAACTGTCGGTTGCGAATCCCTTCCTGAAACTTCAGGGATTGATGGTTATGCCACAATTCATGTGAAAAGTAGTTTCTCTAGATTTGCAATAAGGTTTCAGCTGTGACCTACAACCTCAGTTACCTTTTTTGTGATTTATCTAGATGTAACACACAAACAGATGTGATTTTTCTTGATTTGCTACAATTTTTATAAAATGATGTTCAACTCAATCAGTGGGACTCATTAACTTCTGAAATTTAACCTTGTATATAGTGAAAAACAGGAAGAACCTGTTCCTTGGGCAGGTACCTCTACTAGTATATTAATGGGGGGAGTTGTTTGGTTGGGTATCTTTTTGCATTAAGCAAGCATAAAAATATTGGAGCACTGATTCATTTTCAGAATGTCCAATGTCCCGCTCTTCTCTTGCTTTTTTTTCTTTTGTTAACTGGGGTTCAAGTCTCAGTTGCATCAGTCCTTCATTTGTGACATTGTACTTTTTTCTCATAGAAAAAAAAATAACTGCAAGAGGTACAAATACAAAAATCTCCAAGGCAAACTCACTGGAAATCTATAGAAAACTAGTTGTTTTATAATTCAGGAACAACAGCAGAAAGCATAGGTGCTGGAACTAGGGGTGCTGCCACACCTCCTGGCTTGAAGTGGTTTTCATCATATACAGGTTTACTCTTTCGGTGAATGGCTCTCAGCACCCCACTATAAAAATTATTCCAGCACCTCTGACAGGAGGTTTAACTCCAAAGGAGGAAAAGAGGCCTTCAATACTGCAAGCCTGTCCTCCAGTTTTTACTACTTCTAAGTATACAAAATAAACCCTAAGCAGCAAAATATGAATGTTAAAGCTCTAAAAGTTGTTTGGAATTATTAGTAATGAGTTATGTGAAACATTATTAGCAGCTGTTTAATATATAAATTATTAAACACACCCTATGTTAAAAGAACATTATTAAAATTGTAGAATCAAGCACTCAAGAATTAGATGCTAGAATTAAGACTGCTGATGCAACCTTAATCTGGCCCCCTTATGCATATACATTCATCCCAGTGCAGGTTCATCCTGTGGATGGAAGGAGGCAGGGGACCTGCAGAATGTTTAGTTTGCACAGGCAACCTTCATTCTGGTGTTTCCTAACTTCCTAACTTGCTTGACTTTGCAACTTTAATAATGTTCTTTTAAACACTGGCTGCCAGTCTCTCTCACCGGTCTCCTCATCCAATCCCAATCTCCCCCGGGCTCCTTGACCCAAACTGCCCTCCGTTACTTCTAGTTCATCTCCTGGCTCAACCAGTCCAAACCTCCCTTCCCGCAACTTCCAGTCCCAATCTTTTTGCCCAGCTGTTCCCAGTCTGCCTTCACTCTCCCAGCTCCTAGTCTCCTATCCTAACCAGTCCCAATCTCCCCCCCCACAGTCCCAATCTCACCAGATTGCTTGTCCCAATATACAGTAGAACCCCATTTATCCGACCTTCCATTATCCGGCTCTCCTTATTAACTGAACAACTGGTGCACACAGGTCCAGAAGTGGGAGATCTCTCCTGTGGCTGCTAGATGGTGCTGCAGCCTCGCACTTTCCCATTCTCTGGATTATCTGAATTTTTTATTATCTGATCTGGCTCTGGTACCAATTGGATCAGATAGACAGGGTTCTGCTGTACTTCTTCCCCCTCCTTCTTTCAGTCCAGCTTTTGTCCCTTCTGTATTCAGCTCAGATGACTTCCTCCTCCACAGCCTGGGTACCAGCAGAGGGATCATTGTGAGCACAGGAGAGACAGGCTCCTTGTTCTCAGTTCCAGTACCCAGCTTCACCCTGGTCAGGAGCAGCAATTACAGGGAAAGTCCTTCTGAGCCACTGTAGCCCTGGGCAGTAGCAGGCTCAGGGACAGTGTGGGGATGGTGCATGCGCAGTACAGTCACATGCAGGAGCTGTGAGACTGGAGCATGCTCAGTAAGGATGGACTCTACAAGGATTTTAACTGTTAAAAATCAAAGACCTTTCTACTGAGTATATGCAAACTTCGGTTTTTTCAAAGGCTTACAACTTGGCCAAATTTGGACAAATTTTCACAGGGAGAGCAAAAGGCACATTCCTGACATAAAGGTCATCCTCTGCCAAATCTCAAGTACCTGCCACAAAGCACTAGAGCATTTTAAAAAAAAAGGTCTCATGATTTTTAACATGGGCAAAACAACACTTTTTTCCCCCCTTGGAAATGGATAAATTATTTTGGCTGAAATAAAAAAAAACAATTCAGTTAGAGGCAGCAGCCAGCATGGAAAACTTCATCCTAAACAGTTAGTTTCCTGTTAGAAATCCTTGTTTTCATTTGCTTATAACTTTGGGAAGTATCAGACAGTCTTAATAATAATACCAGCCCCATCTATAATTACTTATTTCATGATAGGTTCATGGAGAAGTATCTAGTTTCCAAAGACATCCTGAAAACATAGATAGGATTTCATGTCTGAGTATTAGGAGTTACCACAATAACAGCATTAGAAATTATAGTATCCTTTTTCAGCTAAACTACCCCTTTTCATAAGACTGTCTAATAAAACTCCCTAACAGTGTGTGCAGGAATTTAGGTTTGGAAATGCCAGTATCAATAAAGAGTAGATGTTTGTTTAATGCCCTAAACAACATGCGGAAATGCTACTCCTCTCTGTTTGACAGATATATTATCTCTCAATTACTGTTTATTTAATCTCAGTCTAATCAACCTTCTGAAAACGTTCCTTTGTATATTTTTGAGTATCAAATAAATTATAATCTATCGATTTACTTGACTAATTGATTATAATGTTTTCCAAAATGTGATAGACCCATGTATATCAACCACTCTCAAGTGAATATTTAAAATTATAGGTTTCAGAGTAGCAGCCGTGTTAGTCTGTATTCGCAAAAAGAAAAGGAGTACTTGTGGCACCTTAGAGACTAACAAATTTATTCGAGCATAAGCTTTTGTGAAGTGAGCTGTAGCTCACAAAAGCTTATGCTCAAATAAATTTGTTAGTTTCTAAGGTGCCACAAGTACTCCTTTTCTTTTTATTTAAAATTATGTTGAGCTTCCTAGCCATCAACAGAGCCAATATGTCAATTGCTCTAGCTCAAAGGACAAGTAAACAGTACCTAGTAGCACATGATCACAGCTCACCATAAACCATTCTGCCTTGCAAGGCTGGAAGCCCCTTGTACAAGGTATGTCGCACTCCTACTTCCTTGTAAAGGCTGCCACAGATCAGGGCAGGATTAAGTCTTTAGGAGAAAATCCCCAAGTGCCAAGCCAAAAAACTAATCTGAGTGTTGGGGATCTCTATGGAGAAGGGGATGGTGAAGGAATCCTTCCCAGGCTGTAGGGAGTCAGCAGAGCCACTGTGGAGCAGTTATTCCAGCCTAATGACTACAGCAACTTCAGAAGGCCCAAGGCAGCTGCTAGGCGATGGGGGGGGAAGGGGGGGGAGATTGGAGGCTCCATGTAACAATGGATCCTTTTGGCCCCACTCTTCCCAATCCCCCTCTCAGCCATGCAAGTATCCCCTTAGAGCCATGCTCCGTGCCAGAGAGGGCTAAGTACACTCTGCAAGGTCTTCCCAAATCATGCCCCTGCCCTTGTATAGCATAACTGCACCAGCTCCTTTGAAGAGGGATTTCGGCGCCTACAATGGTCAGGGAAATGATGTTCCCTTAATATATAAAATAGGATTGTGTAAGTATGGGTTTATTTACGTATGCACACTCAAAAGTCTACACTAAAGAGATTCTGGAACAAACAACTTAATTGATAATTTATTAGAAAACAAAAGAGAGGAAGGCACAATCACCATTTCAGACTTTGAGTCTGTTTCTCTAGAAGTTGAATCCTCTACCTGTGGTATTTCATTCTTAACTTATTTTTCTGAATTTATTATTTCTTGCAGTTGGATGAGCCAAAGGTGAACAGAAATGCTTTATTTAAGCTGAATTGTATTTGTATCATATAAACGATATTTTTCATTCTAACTTCAAAAACGGTGTTAGATAAAGGTGAATTCTGATTCCAGAATTGCTTTATGGCAAATACGTAAGTGTCACCAGCACTTTGCTCCCTCCTGTTATACATAATCAAGAACCTGAAATCTAGTCTTACTTATTTCTTCAATGTCTCAAAATAATCCTTCTATATTATGCATTGAAAAGGAAACTTATTCCTTATGATTTTTTTGACAAATAGAGAAGTTGTAACAGAGGGTGCATCAAATATGTGTAAAAGGGACTAGATAGCCATTGCTACAGACACATATGCTGTTATGTGGGAGGGCAGGCTTCATGCAAGTTTCCCCCATGCAGCTCTTGCAATAAACTGTAATTGTGAATTGCAGCACACTCAACCAGTCCAGGCCTCAGACTCCTCACAGATCTCCGAATACACCTCAGTCTTCAACGGTGACATCCCTGTAATTCCAACCTGAGAACTTCCCCACAATAGGTACAATGACATTATGCTGAGGGGCTATTTTGTGAGGTGGACAAATTTATATTATGGTGAAACTGAGGCTAAATTCTTCTAGGTCTTAATAAGAATATAAACTTGAATGTCTTCATAGGGGAAACCCAGTGCAGCAACAGCGATATGTGTCACCTGCCCCACCTCCACCCCCACCCTTGGTGAATTATGTTCAATTTCATGGTAGGACATAAAGCTTAGTTATTTACTAAAGTTAAAACACATTCTCTAACATCATTAAAGATGGTGATGATGGTGATGGGTGGTAGGGGTGGTGGTGGTAGTTGGGTTTTTGTTTGTTTTCAGGCAATGTAATCAAGCAGAAACTGTTTCATAACAAAGTTGAACCAAAACCAAATTTCACAGCCACTTTAACAAGTTCTTTGTGTTTGTGGCTTTTTTTTTTGTAAGGGTAGATGGAGTTAAAGAGAATGTAGTTTAATTGAACTAGAACATGCTATTAGAGTAACGTGAAATATTTTTTCTCTTCTGTTATACTCATCCAACTCTCTCAAAGTCCTACATCATCATATTGGTCTCTCTTTTGTGAAAAAAGTACTGAATGCAACTCCCTTTATGGCCCATCACACTTTTAGATCAGGCAAAGAGATCATTGCAGAACAGTAACACAATCCTTCCACATAGAGATCAAGCATGCTGCCCCTGCTGCTCCAATATGTGAAGGAATCCACCTCAAACCATTAAATGCATTTTGGTATATCTATACTGTTTTAGAGCTTGTTTGCCCCCAGCTCCCCCACCCCGGAAGTGTGCATAGCCCATTAACTTCACTTGGCTCTGTACATGATCAGCACTTCTAAAATGAGGCTCTTAATTTACCTGCTAGGTATTCTATGACAGCTGCCATGTAGACTGGCGCTCCAACACCTATCCGGTACTTGTATGTTCCTTTCCTCAAGTAGCGCATCATCCTCCCCACAGGGAAAATAACACCTGCCCTGCTTGAGCGTGACATTTTGGACATTTTCTTTTTCCCACTTCGGGCAGACATCTTGCTGCTATATTCCTTTCAATTTGCTGACAGAAAGTTTTTATTTACTTGCACCTACACAAAAGCTGCAAGGGAAAAGAGATGGATTGATGGTGAGTATAGCAGAAACTTCTACAGAACAGTATCAATATAGACTTGCTAGTGCCTTCTCATAGAGCCATTGATCTGGCCACAATAAATACAGATATTAAAGCAGAAGCATCACTTATCAAACAGCATACAATCTGAGCACTCAAAACACTATAATCTGTGTTCTTTTGAATACTGTACATTAAGACAGAAATAGATCAGAAAGAGCAGTTTGGGGAATAGAAGAAAATTGAATGCACATTAACTAATTATAATATAGAAAAAAATTGTTGCTATTCAATATATCTGTAAACATCTCTTTGTTGTGTAAAGCAGGTGATGATGCATCTGCAGTGGAAGGATTTCATTCTTGCTAAATGTCTTAAAATCAATTTACAAAGTGAGAGGGATATTTTCAGCATACCGTGGTGGGAGATAGGCATGTAACACTCATCATTATTTAAGAAAGTTTCATTTGGTTCCTTTTGTTATGGTAAATAAAACTACATAAAAATAAACTACATTAAAAGAATGTTACGGTTGCAAAGTAAAATACTCAAAAATTAGGGAATGCCAGAAGTGAGGTTGCCCATGCAAACTTAATTCAGCTGCCTTATGTGGATACATTCTTATACAGTCTTGCATTAAATGGCCACATACTTTTATTTTTTTTCCTTTAGGGCCCCTGTCTCATTCGTACACAAAAAAGGCAATGCTTACTGAATGGGTAGCTATTAATATTTCTTTTTATCCTCACCATTTAGTGTATGAATACATGCTTTAATTACTGTATACCATTCAAAACCTCTGTACGGGCTTTTTTATGGCACTTGTCATTGCATCTGAGTGATTCACAAACATTTATGAATTTTTTTATAACACACATATCAGATGGAGTGGTAATATTCCCATTTAACAGATGGGGAACTGAGAGATTAATGCTGATGTTGTCAAATATGTCCACTAATTTTGGTGTACAAATTTAGATGCTTAAAATCTGATTTTTTCAGAGTAGTTGGTATTTTTATAGTACTTCATATGTTCAAAGCATAGATCCCATGAACTTTACTTGTAGTTGTGACCGCTCAGCACTTTTGCAAATGAGGCCCCAGTGTCTCAATCAAGTTGGGCACTCAGATAGCGAGGAACACACAAGTGGCCACCTGTGGAAAATTTTAATTTTAGTGACCTGCCCTGCATTCCATAGGAACTCCGGCAGATACAGATAAAATCCAGTTCTCAAAAATGGCATTCAACTATCTTAACCATGAAACCATCCTTCCTCTTCTTGCAATTCCCTGCTTCATTCACTACACACCTTCCCACTGTGACAACAAATGAGGCCGGGTCCTACAGACAACAGCCTCATTCACTACTCAACCCTGATTCACTCCTTGAACTCCATCTACCTTGTGCACTAAATCAGGCAGGGTTCGGTCAAAGTTGGGTGGATTTTCAAAGGTCTCCTGGCACCACAGCAATCCTCCTGCCATACCTCAAAACATGGAGGAACTAGAGTTTCTCAATTAAAAGGCTGTAAGTATTTTTTTAACAAGCGCAAAGCAACATATTTCTCCCCTAACCTCATTCTCTAAAATGGCTGAACCATTTTTGTTAAAAACCCAGCCTGAGGTGGACACCAGCATGGAAAATTGCAGCCCCAGTGATAAAGTTTGGCAGTTAAAGGCAAACAAAAGCAGGGTGTTAGGGTGGAAGGCAAGCTGAACTAAAGGCATCACTGTCTGTTCTGCCTATAATAACTACAGGGAGCTGGATCATCCCTTGTGAATGACATAGTAAATTTGAAAGGATTCGATTTTTATCAGTGAATGTTGGCAAACATTGATTTCAACATACATATGCAAACCAATGAAAAATATTTCCATCCATAATTTACAGATAGGCAAAGTAAGAAATATGATGCTGAGAACATATTAGTTTCATTTAAGGATATTTACCGTGTATGTTTTGACATGTGATATTGACAATTTGTCTTTTAACAGTTATAAAGCTATAACCTTTTGAATCTCAACGTCTACTGTCACTTCATAAATATTGCCTGACACCTCCCCCTAATTTCCTGCAACTGTGAAAATTTAAATTGATAAAAATAAGTTATAAATAAGCATTGATTTTTATCCACTGAAATGATATAAAAAAAATCAAATTCTGCCAAGGCTATATTTAGCGTTCCTCCCTTACATGTGGCAGAGAGTGAGAGCAACCTCTGTAACACTATCCTTCTTGCTGTGTCTTATGTGAATGGAGGTCTATTAAGTTCAGGAGGTAGAAATGAGGTGAGATAGGGAGAAAGAGGGAACAGGCTGTACTCCACAGAACCACCCCTCCTTGTTCTGCTGCTGCTTTTTCAGCTGGAACTCTGGGAGACAAATTATATAGGTCAGAGGTGTATTAACACCCTCCTCTGGGTCGCCTTCACATCTGCTACTTTGCAGCCAGAGGAGCCAACCTCCATGGAGCTGGGAGGAGGTCCCTCATCTCTTGCCCTAAAGGGAACGATTACCAGTTTTTCTGCCCCTCTGGCTTCCCTCTGCAGAAGTTTTCCATGGGAAGAGCCAATCTAGGCTAGGCTTAGGAGCAAAGAAAATAAAATCTAGCTCCCTCCTTCCTGTTTTGTGGAAACAATAAACAAGTTTCACAGGTAAATGTTATGACAGCTCTGGAGTCAGCCATTTTACTTAAAACAGTATAAAAGGCTTTTAGCTACAGATACAGCTTCAGCTTTTAGTCAAGTAATTGCTACATTTTAATTTTGTAAAGATAGCTGTCCAACTTACTGCCTAAATCTATGTCTACACTACCGCGGTAAGTCGACCTATGCTATACAACTCCAGCTATGTGATTAACGTAGCTGGAGTCGACATACCTTAGGTCGAGTTACCGTGGGGTCTACACCTCAGGGGGTCAATGGGAGAAAATCTCCCGTTGACTTACCTTACTCTTCTCGTCGGGAGTAGACTACAGGGATTGGCTGGAAAGCAATCTGCAGTCGATTTGGCGGGTCTTTACTAGACCCGCTAAATCGACCGCTGGTGGATCGATCTCAGAGTGTCGATCCCTGCTGTAGTGTAGACCTGCCCTAAGTCTGATCTCAGTTATACCGCAATAAGTGCAGTGCCACTCTACTGAAGTATATGAAGAATTTGGCTGCAGCACCTGATGCTTCTGCTGATGAAGGCATATGCACAGAATTTCTCTTATATGCATTCACAACAATGGAACAAGAAAAAAGTTAAGTTGAAAAGGATTGTGGTGACATGAAGTGAGGCACTGTGGGAAATCTATTCCATGGCTGGAGATAAGAGCATTTCTGAGTTCCAAAGCATGATGAAGGCACAACACAGAACTCTCTCCCCACTCCCTTCAAATCTTTTTACTTTTTAACACCCACATTTTTCAGCCTGCTTTCAGTTTTTATGCCCTAAAAGGGGGATTGCCACAGACACACTGATCTTTTCCCATTTTACAGGTGTAATTTAAGGTCCTACATTGTCATGACCAAACTTGCTGAGGAGGGCTGCATATGAAACCCCAGACCTCTTGAATTGAGGAGAGGGCACTGCTTTGCAACATGTGCTGTTCACTCATTGCCGGAGCTAAGCTTGTTGCCTCAACAGCTCTTGCAGTCCCTGACAGATTGGGAGTGAAGGACAAAACTGTAACCGGAAATAACAACATAATATATTGTGCTACTGTGATCAGGATCTTAACAGCCTTTGATATCACTGCACCACAAAGACACATTTAAAATCCATTTGAGAACACTGAAATCCAGGTCTAGTTCTTCTGTTTATTCCAAGCGAATAACTATATGAAAAAGTCCACCCGTCCAATACTAGCTAGATGTTGAAAAAAACTGCTCATCGGGAAATCAAGTACACTTTCTTTGAGAATCTAAATTGAATTCTAGCTACACTTATACCACATTTAAGAAAGAAAAACACCAGACAGTCAACAGTGGTCTAAAATACTCCCAGTTTGTCCTTGTCCACCATACTGCTGATTTTACTTTCTGAATGTGTTTATTATATAGGTAGAGTAACGAAAACTAAGGGAGAATAAACTAATAGCCTGGTAAACAGACATACTAAGAACTCAAGATACACATGACCTCATTATGAGTTCCTAAATAATTACCAATTTTGAATCAAGTGCTGTAGTTTGGGATCTAATAAAATTGCCATTTGATCTAAAATCTAATTACTGGATAAACATTTGCACTAAAAAGTCAGTAATAGGGCTACCAAATGAAAAAATAACACCCCCCCCCCACAACAATGCTATTTTATTATGTCATTAACTGATTTTTCCCCCTCCTGCCCCCTTTTTAATTCTGTGGCTGAATTTAACACTCTGGCAGCAAAGGATGAATTGCATTAGGGATATCTTGGTGACGGATGCAATACTGTGATAAACACTATGCCAGGCTTCAGGAAACATCCATACACTGCCACACAACTGTGCCACTGCACCTCAATCCTGAACTTTAGCAGTGCTGCACAAAGGTTTGCAATTTTATTTCACAACATTTTAACAGAATTTCCCCACGGTAATTGTTCTGTGTTTTCAGGTCCAGTGACTGTTCAGTAAACTTTTGCTTTTTACAAAATAATGATGAAAGCAAGTTCCCCGACAAGATGGAAGGAGTATTACATAAGCTACTTTACAAATTATCTTGCCCAAAAGAGGCCATGAGATAGTATACTGCAATAAAAACTAAAATGAAACTGCCAAATTTATTTAATCTGTGACAAGCCAATCTTAAACTCAGCACTTTATTTTATAACATTGAATAATCTCTCTAACACATCCTTTTAGTTCTTGTGATAATTGTCATTCAAATGGTTATGGCTGCTACTCTGAAACCTATCTATCTAGTTCAAACTCACATTACATTGATCTCTCTTCCATTGTTTTTGCACGACAAAATCCTGCTTCTTTCTAAGTCAATGACAAAATTGCAATAGGAGCAGGATTTGGCCCATCAGAAATGTTGTGGTTGCATTCAGCATCTATGTTAAAAGATCAAAGCACATTGGTAGAGCTATGGATATGAAAAAGTACTTGACTACAAAGTAATGAGAGAAATTATTACATTATATATGTGCTCTCATTGTGCAATTAAATCATTGTCCTGACTCCCTCTTCCCTCACTGTGTCTAATTTTCCATCCTCTCCCTTTACCTGATCATTCTTTTTCCTAATTCTCCCACAACTGTCATATACTTCTGTGCAACTGTTCCTTGCACTTCTCTCCAACTGCTGTTTCCCAACTGTCAAGGAACTTTCGGATTACAACACTCTTTCCTTCTTATTCTAAAGAATTTTTTTTCATGTGAGAACCTGAACATGAAAGAGGTGTTAGAATAGGTCAGAACTGAGGTTCATTGGCCAAATGGAGTAAAGAAAGTTTAAACATATCTACCTGTACCATGCCTGGCTCTAGCTAGTGATGTTACCCCTCAACACCATGACCACTAAAACAAATCAACCTGATTTGCATGTCTGTGCACATATGTTTGTGGCACCAAAGCTTCAGTTATAAAAGTAGGACTTCCCTTTATTTCATCCAGTTCCAATCAAAGTATATTAATTTAAGTGAGCTCTGAGTTGCTGTTTCTCAAGCTGTTTTGCCAGCATGAGCTGAGTTTATAGGACTCTTACCTGCCTCATCCCAAAAGAGGCATTTTCCCATTACACTCCTCTCTCTGCATATGCTATTGATGCATTGCAGCATCCAACATCACAGCCAAAAGTTGCCTCTAAGAATGTACTGCCATATTTCATCTACTTAGGGATGGATATGAAAAACATTAGAATCATAGAATATCAGGGTTGGAAGGGACCACAGGAGGTCATCTAGACCAACCCCTTGCTCAAAGCAGGACCAATCCCCAACTAAATCAAGAAGTCATTCAAAAAGTCAAACTGGGTATAGAAACGTTGTCCCAGACAGTGACTACAGTGTCAAATGAGGATGTAGACACCAATCCACAAAGGGACTCAGGCATCTAAATCTACGACGTAGGCTATGTCTACACTAGCACTTTTGTCAGGAAAACTTTTGTCAGTTAGGGTGTGAAAAAAACAAGTAAACATATTAAGCAAAATGAAAACAATATTTTTGAATCACTTTTAGATATGGTAATCTTGGCTGCTATGTGAAGCAGTAGTAGGTAAACATTTTTTCAGACAAATAATGGTTTTAGTTGTCCTAGCTTTCCAAGCCCCTGCCTGTACATGCAATAACTTTTTTTTCTTACTGGTGCCTACAAAAAGGAAAATATCTTCCCTTTCTGTTAAATTTTCACAGGTTTCTTGTCTGTTGTAGAATCTACTACAAAATCTCACTCTTATTCAGATACACTTTGAACTTTTCCCCTTCTCCACTTTACTTTTTCCTATTCTCCAATTTTTTATGCTATTCCAGATATCTTTTCGTTCCACTTCCTAATTTTTAGAGTTGGCAGCATGGCCCGGATGCACAAAGGGACCTAGGGGTTGCAACGCTTAGTGTTGCGCTCAGCGTCGCCATGCCTGATTTTTAGGTACCTAGGCTCCCTATGCAATGAATGGGGAGAGACAGGTGCCTAAAAATGTAATACACAAAAGCCACCACAGTAGCTAAGCTAGCTAATGTGAGATACTGAAGAGAAGGGTGTGTCCTAACCACCTTACTTCTCATGGAGATAGGCGTCTGAGACTAGGCTGCAGGGAGGCATTTGCTGTGAGAATGAGTAAGGCTTTTGCAAAGCATCTGCGTCACTCCACAGAAAATGGCCAAAGATGGGCACTGGTACCTCCACCTAACTTTTATCCCAGTGGTTAGAGCACTCACCTGGAATGTGGGAGACCCAGATTCAATTCCCACCTGACTCGGGGGCAGAAAGGATTTGAACAGAAGTCTGAATCAAATATTCTGATGTGTGGCTCCCTCAGTCTCTCCTGTGGAAGCTGTTCCACTGTGGATAAATATAGGGACATTTTACCACCAGGAGAGAAGGCCTCCCTAGCCTGGTAGTTAGGGCACTCACCTGGGAGGTGGGAGACCTGGGTCCAGACCCACTGCTCTCATAACTCATTATTTATTTGCAGTGGAATAAATATTTGTGTGAAATATTATTTCTGTGACATTATTTGTGGCCAAAAATGAGAGTAATGATAAGAAAATATGGAGTCAGTAGGAGCTTCAGCACAAGAGTAACTGTGACTGTTTGAGATGTTTTGAAGTTGGTGGCAGGCAAATTTCTGACCCCAATGATGGAGATGAAGCAAAATGTGGGAGTTGAGGGGTTGTGGAAGAGAAATAGGAGTTGATGAATGTGGTTGACCAGAGGATAGATAATCAGCAGCCAGCAATGAGGCCTCCCTTTCCCCAGGTGAGTTTGTAGGAGGCTGGCAGCAGTTTATGACACACGCTAATATAGACATTAGACAAGAGAGCAGCTGCCGCAGCTCTGCCACAAAGGGCAACTGAACAGGGGGATCGTTTTCAGCCCACGCGGCCGCGCCACACGCCGCCCTGGTGGAAAGGGCATCCCAGCGCAGGCGGATCCTTGGGGTGTTCTCTCGGCGCGGCTCCAAATGTGCCTCTGCACAGGACATGTTTCGATTAGCTACCCCACGCAGGGTCCGAGCTCAGCGCAGGCGGGGACCCGGCCCAGCGAACTCGAGCAGGCCCTGCCGTCTCCCCGCCGCAGCGTCGGGCTGAGATTGTTTTGTTTTCCCCGCGGTAGCCTCTGCGACGCTTGTCTCTTTAAGGGGCCGGGCTTCCAGTCCAACAGCAGCCTTTTGTCAAATCTGAACCCGCCTTTTTTTTCAAATGCAAACTGCCAAGGCCCCTTCCCCGGCACCTCCCGCGCGACTCGGCTGCCTGCGCTCTTCGCCAGACAACAGACCCGCCCCCCCAACGCATGGTGCGCGCGCTCATTGGCCGAGCCTGAGATTAAAGCACCGGCGCGCACCGCAGGAGAACTAGGGGGGTGTGAAGCGATTGACCGGAGTGCTAGCGCCTCGGACAGGCGAAGGACATCTTCTCTGACGTGGGTGGTGAAAGTCGCGCGCCGACTAGGGCATAAGGGGGCCCTGGTTATGAGGCGCGCTCCGAACGGCTCGGGGCTCAACAAGCGACCCACTGGGGCGCGCTCCAGAGGAGAGGGAGCTGGAAAAGGGCGCGCGCCCGCCGGAGGGAAGGAATCTTCCCGCGCAAACCCCCAAAGATCGAGTCTCCGGTGCCGGTCGGCTGCCAGCCCCGCCCCCAAAGCACCGCTGGGAGGGGGGCTGTAAGCTTAGCTCGATGGAGGCTGCCATTAACCGGGCTCTGACCGAAAGGGTGTCCCGGAAAGGGAAGCGGAGGGGGAGTGCCCTCGCCTCGCCCCACTCCCCCGGGGAGAGTCACATAGGGAGGGAGCGAGAGAGCACACCCCCTCCGGACCGCGCCGCTGGGAACCGCTCCTGGCGCCGCACAGCGCAGCCTGCAGAACGCCGGCTCCGCGTCCCCGGGGTCCGGTCACCACCCTGCGCCCAGACCTCCCACAGCTGGGACCCGCCTCGGCCCTCCGTGCCCCCGGCCAGGCCTTTCCCTCGGGTCGGCCCCCGGCTGGTGCCGGCCCCCGCGCCGGCCTGCCCCCGGGGCTCGGAGGATTCCTTCCCCCCCGGGCTAGCGCGTTGGGGCAGCCGCCCTGCCTCAGCCGCGGATGGCGAGCCTGGGTAGACGGAGCGCCCGGTCGTTCGCTCTCCTCGCCATGCCCCACCCCCCGCAGTGCTCCGCACCCGCCGGGCCTCTCTCCTCACCTGCCCGGAGGTCGCCGCCGCCTTCCCCGCCTCGGGAAGCTCCTGCTGCCGCTGACTCCCCTGGGCTGCTCTCGCCTGCCGCTAGCTTTCTCTTGTATTGTATGTTTCAATGGCGGCGGCAGCTCTGGAGGGGGACGGAGGGGGGGCTCCTTCTTCTCCACATACCGCCTCTAGGAGGAGTCACTGCAGCTTGCCTGCAACAGCCCCTGCCGCCCTCACACAGCGCGCTGCCTCTCCCCTCTCCCTGGCCAGGCCCGCTGGCTCCTGCCTTCCAAAACCGACCCGCTGATGATGAAAGGGCTCCCCGGCCTTGGCTGCGGGGGTGCCGGGGGTCAGCGCATCAGTAAAAGCGGCTTTCCTGAGTGCAGGAACAGTCTGGCCTGGCAAGGGGGTAGGCAGCGATAGTTGGCGCCATTGTGAGGTTTAGGGGTCCTTTAAATGACATCTTTGGTTCGACGTTAAATCATATCCAAGGCTGGTTCATAGCACCCAGATCCAGGGATAGGTTTGGTGCCCCAATTGGCATTAATGGAGCCACTCATCCCAAAATGTGGGGTAGAGTGATCATCCAGCTAGTAGAGTATTTTGGGCATTGCATGAGGTCAGTATGCGGTATTGTCAACCCTAAATGTTCAAATATCACAAAATTGGCTTTAAAATCATGATGGTTTTTAAAAATAAATCGTTGGGGTTCTTTTTATTTGTCCTATGGTGTTGGAAGTGTTTAGGATTTAGTATTTTCAAGCTTGTTGCCATAACCACCAAAGCTACAGGCTTGCCTTTTTTCAAAATGAAAGTGGAGCTGTTCAGTCACGCCAATTGAGGAGTTGGAGCTTTCAAAAAGCAACAAATATTGTGAGACCTGTGGTGCACTCACAAGAGTTGGCAGCATTGTTTAACCATAATACAATACACACCTTTTGTAAATAAACAAGACGGGTTATAAAATACTATTTTGAGACAAGAAAATATAACCACATTTGAAAATGTTTCCTAACGGCTCTAGATTAACAGCAGGCAGGTGCTATGTAGTAACAATGCAAAAAGAGGGGGAGACTGGAACAGAAAAATCTAGGGCTCTTATGTAGCACCAGAAACTTCTGTAATTAGGCTGAGCCATTTTATTTGTATCAATAAATTTTCTCCACCTTATTTCATTTATATACATATTTTTGTATTCTGGATTATGTACAAACTATAGATGCAGTGTATGCTATCATAAAATGCCATTCAAATGGATTATATAAAACAAAAATCATGCTGGATTGCAGTTATAGTTATTAGTGTTTGTCTTTGCATGAAGATGGAGTCACCAGTAGTATTTCCATGTATAAGATTTAAAGGAGCATAATTGGGGATAATTGAACAAACTATTTTTGAGTTAAAGGTTTGTGGAAAATGAATACTTTTCTCAACTCAAGAAACTACTTGTTCTGTCATGGACACCTTCATGAGAACAAGAGCACAGGACAGGTTTTATTGAGTTTGAGAAATTGTCGATTGCTTAATGTTTGAACAGCAGTGTGAATATATAAAGCATCATATAAGAAGTAATGGTGAAATTATGATCCTATTGAAGTAAATGATAACACTCCCATTAACTTCAGTAGGGGCAGAATTTCACCCAAAGATTTATAATCTCCTGTGTGTGAATTGGGGATAGCAGAGTTACAGTTTGTTAGGCATTTATGAATGTTACGTATCTAGAAGCAGTTTCCAAGCTCCTCTGGTATCAGCTAACAAATGTTACAGCAGAAACCTGGAATAAAATAGTATAATATTTACAAGTGTCTTTTGAGAAGAGCTGGCAACCTCTCTGAGAAGCCTGGTTCTTTCCTTTTTATGAAAAGGGATAATGCAGGCCCTAGCATAGTATAGGAATCTGGGGAGGGTATGAAATTGAAGAACTTTACAGTGTGTTCCTGGTATTCTTGAACTTGTCCTAGGTGTAGAAATCTTAATTGAGAATTTCTTGCCTTTTTAGTGTTTAAATTATCAACTACCGTACCACACTGTAGTAAGTTTAGATTTTTGTAGGTAGAACACATTCTCATCCTTAAATGTGCATTAACAAAGTTACAACTGTTACATCCCTGAATGCATTTCTGGAAGGCATTCAGATACTACAGTGATGAGTGTGGTATAAAAACATGAATAGAATAGAGTGACTAGAAAAGTTATTAGTGGATAAACAACTGAGTTAAAAGCAAACTGCATTTCATTATACAGCAGCAATAGGAAAAATGACATTTGATGGCTTATTAGTATTATTTGGTGATGGATTGCTCTAGGCAATGATCCTGGAGTCTTGGCGTATATTTTCACATTTGCTATTATGCAGAGTGTTATCAAGCATCCAGGGTTTTCGTGACACAACGGCTATAGTACCAGGAAGAGAGGCAGACAAAACACAACATTTGGCTCTCCACCCAAACAAATGTTCCTTGTCAGTTATCTCTGTCTTAGGGAAAGATGGTATTACTGTTTAGCAATCTTTTAAGATTAAAATTTACAAATTTTGGATAATAGAAAATTATTCACACAAATGGAGTCAGTCCTGTTTGTTTCTACAAAGACCATCTGCCAGTTGACTTCCTAGTACAAAATAGATTTGTTTCTTTGTAAAATAAATAACATATCTATTGAAGGGGGTTTATGAATTGCTGATTGCCTAGCTCCTAAGCTATTGGAGTCTCAGTGTTTGTATATGGCACACTTACTAATGAATAGAAATTGTCATGACTATTTCATAACTTCAGAGTCTTATTAACAGTATTAAAATTACTTCATTATTATGAGGTGTGTTTTTCCTTTTAAAACCCAGTACAATTTTTTGTAGACTTTAAAATGTTGTTGAAGACTTTTCAATTAAACTACAATTTTGACCATCACAGTGGATTTATGGTAGCTTGGTGCCCAGTTATGCAGGAAATGCAAGTTGGGATTTGAATTTGGTGACTTAGATCCAGATCCTCAATGGTATTTAAGCCCCTAACTCCCATTGAAATAAATGGGAGTTAGGGGCTTAGGCCCAGATCCTCAATGGTATTTTTCTCCTTTACGGGGGAGGGAGCACGGTACATGACTTGAATGACACCGTTCAGCTGTTCCAAGGGTACTGTTAACACTGTCCTGAGGGAGTTGTGTTATAGCCTTTCTCAACCAAAAGGATAGGTGAACTTTATGCTTGACCTTATAAGGTAAAGAATAAAAGAGGCAAATGAAATATAGCTCACCCAAAAAAGAATACTCAGATATGGCCAGCCTAAAAATCAGACTACCTTGGAGATCTGACCTGAAGTTTTAATCTTTTTTTTTTCTTTAATTTATGGCAACAATAGAAATTATAAAGGGAAGACAGAAGGGGTAGCACATCTGTACCATACTTTGTATGCACATTTGGTTTTGGTATATTTCAGTATAATCAAATCTCTATCAGTACACGTGAACTATCTAGATCCAAACGTAATGTAGGTAAGTGCTGTGTTATCAATATACCCAACAAAAGTATGCTAATGGACTTAAGTTCTGACTTGTAACACCACTCCTTTTCCCAGGACTTTCCTGAGCACAGACTGCCAGCTTTTGGATGAGGCCCAGTTTTAGTTTTCTGTTGAGGCCAAAATACTAATTTTGTTCCCTGGCTCTGATCAAGATCAGGAATTCAGAGGAGTCTTGTCTTCCATCCTCCTATTCCTCGTGGTCAGCTGGCTTTCCCTGGTTCCTACTATCTGCATCTGATATTGGGTTCATTTCTTGGTGAAGGTTGAGTCAACTGACTGGTCAAGACTAGGGACTGTTTTCTTCCCAACTGCCTCTCATAAGTGGTCCTAACAACACATACTGCAGTCAGGGGCACCAGAACAGGGGAGACTGGGAGCCATGGCCCTCCCACTTTTTAGAGGTTGTAATAGTGAGTGACTGGGGGAGGGGTTGGAGAGGAGCAAGCAAGGGGCGGGGAAGAGGGGCATGGGACGGGGTGGGGCCACTGTTTGGGCAACTGCACCTCCTCCCCCCACACACTTATAGGTTGCTTCTGCCTCTCCTGAGTGCAGTGACCTTATCTCAAAGCAATCTAAGACTCAAATGGTCTACTTAAAAATAGAATTTATTAGCAATAGCATGTTCAGATTAAAACAAAATAAATGGTTTGTGTAAAATATCTAGTCAGGTTCAGGAGGGCTAGCTGCAGTAAAGAAACCAAAGCCTTATGTTTCTAGAGAATATATTCTTTCCCCCAGCTGGTTATAGGAATATAGGAAATCCCATACTGGATTTGGATTAGACCAGTGGTCCATCTAGTTCAGTGGCTAATACCAGATAGTTCAGAGAAAGTTGTAAGAAACCCTGCAGTAGGCAGTAATTCCATAACTTTCCTGTCCAGTATCAGAGGGTAGCCGTGTTAGTCTGTATCCACAAAAACAACAAGGAGTCTGGTGGCACCTTAAAGACTAACACATTTATCTGAGCATAACCTTTCGTGGGTAAAAAAACACTTCTTTAGATGCATGGAGTAAAAATTACAGATGCAGGCATTATATACTGACACATGAAGAGAAGGGAGTTACCTCACAAGTGGAGAACCAGCGTTGACAGGGCCAATTCGAATAGGGTGAGTGTAGTCCACTCCCACTAATTGATGAGGAGGTGTCAATTCTAGGAGAGGCAAAGCTGCTTTTGTAGTGAGCCAGCCACTCCCAGTCCCTATTCGAGCCCAAATTAATGGTTTGAAATTTGCAAATGAATTTTAGTTCTGCTGTTTCTCTTTGAAGTCTGTTTGTGAAGTTTTTTTGTTCAAGTATTGCTACTTTTAAATCTGTTATAGAATGTCTAGGAAGATTGAAGTGTTCTCCTACTGGCTTTTGTATGTTACCATTCCTGATGTCCGATTTATGTCCATTTATTCTTTTACATAGAGACTGTCTAGTTTGGCCAATGTACATGGCAGAGGGGCATTGCTGGCAGAGGGGCATTGCTGGCACATGATGACATATATAACATTCGTAAACATGAGCCCCTGATGGCGTGGCTGATGTGGTTGGGTCCTCTGATGGTGTTGCTAGAGTAGATATGGTGGCAGAGTAGGCAATGAGGTTTGCTACAGGGATTGGTTCCTGGGTTAGTGTTTCTGTGGTGTGGTGTGTAGTTGCTGGTGAGTATTTGACTTTCCTGTGTTTCTAACACCCAGTGGTTAAAGAGCCCTGAAGCATGAGTGGTTATATCTTTTCCAAAAATTGTTCATTTTTTTGTTGTTTTTAGTATTATTCATGTACATATCTAATCTTTTGAACCCTACTAAGATGTTGGCTACAATAATATATTGTGGCAATGAATTCCATAGATTATGCAAAAAAGGTATTTCCTTTTATCAGTTTAAATTTGAATCTTTTTCTTCCCTGATT